AAAAAAAAAAAGACATATAGCTGACCATAATAACAGAAGAAAACACTATTTATGTCTGCTAATTTGCTTAGAAGACATTTATTTATTATTTAATAGAGGGTCATATCTATTCAGGTCAGTTTCATAATAGACAAGGAATAGTTTCTAAAACACTAGCAGTACTTTAAGAAATAAAACTTTTTTGTTTAAAAGAATCCCATCATCTTGTTCATAGCATGGGTTGCTGCTCCCCCTCGGGGTTAAAAGTGCAATCTATGATATAGATTGCACCTTTTGAGTATTATTATTATAGCATCAGGGATTATTTTTATCTCTGGAAGGCTGTTTCCCAGGCTTCCAAATAAAGGTTTTATGAATGAATATATTTCTGGACTGAATCATTTGTTAGTTTAGGGACAGTAATGGTGAACCTGTTGGGCTTGGTGTGTCAAAAATTCAGAAAATACTTAACTTGACTCTGTTGAACTGTCACACACAGACAACCCCCAAAGAGAAACAATTTGCTATCTCTGTCTTCCCCCCCCCCCCATTTAGTCCACCCTGAATGCCCTACTTGGCAGCAGCACCAAGTCCAACTCAACTTTATCCCTAGTGTCACCACTGCCACTCAAAAACATCGTCTTGTGCCATTCCCCGAGGTATATGAAGAAGTAACAAACTTTTGTCAAGAAAACAATAAGGACATGGGCATGAACTTGTCAAGAGCTGAGACTGCCATTAAGACCTTTTTGTTTGTTTTATACATTCCCACTTTTCTGCTGTCATACAATAAGCGACAAAGTTTAATGGGAGGGAAGTAGAGTAAGACTAGTAAGTAGTAAACAAATGTTTATTTTTCAAGCAAGTTTTTTTCTTGAATGCACCAAGACACTGAGCTGAGTTGGTAATAGTTAAGACATTCTGGACTAATAACAAACTGTAGATTTTGAAAGACAGATTGTAGCTGCTCATGCAGTCTGTTTGAAAGAACATGCATAGACCAAAATTATTGTAGGCTAGATCAACAATGATCTAAAGCATTTTTTTTTTGCATGAATGCTAGTTTTGAAGCTCTGCGTCTTTGCATGCATATACCACTCATATTGGTCATTTCAAAATACAAGTATTTAGAAGTACAAAAAACAGGAAGTTGAATCTTTAACCAGCACTCATGTAATGCATATTTCCTGAGAACAGTGTGTGCCATATATTTTTATAATATGCATTCAATGCAACATAGTAAACCAAACCTAGCAGAGCATTTCTCTCAGCTAAAGCATATAACTCTCTATACATCAGCAATCCTCTAGGATACTCTTGATACCCAATTTATTTTAAAGAAAGGAACACAAACAGTTTTTTTTTATTTCAGAAACTTTCCAATAACCGGGGTACAAAATTTATAGGTTTGCAAAATCAAAGCCATTAAACTTTCCAGTTGGGGAAGTAACTAGAATCTGCAAGAAAACAAGCAAGCTCAGAGAGCACCAAGGACCCCTCATAAGTAGAATCTGTAATTTTCCACAATAAAAATTGGATTAAAACTTTCATTATGTTTCTACTGAGGATACAGGAGAGCAAACCTATATTTAATGCATCACAATGTTTTTGGCATTTTTGTTTAGTAATTAGGAAGTCGTTTATGCAGCGTGAGATTTGCTTGTCTAGGTAAAGAATTTAGAACTTCAAATTTACACTTTAAATTAATGGCACTGGCAAGTCCTTGAAACCACAGGACCTGGTTTGAGAATGCAGCATAAGTTTGCCCTGTGATTAATTGGACTAAACAGTGATGAACCAAACACCAATTAACAGGGATACAAGCTGACAAACAGAATCCATTTTAAAGCTTGGTTCCTGCCAAGGCAATCTGCATTGCTATCTGGCAAAACCTAAATGTCAGATAAAGGTAACATAAACTATGCTTCACAGCATGCAAAAAAAAAGTGCACTTTGTACTGATTTGGGGCAAACTGATGCACCATGAAGTTTTCAGGCTGGCAAGCTTTTCTATTCATGGGTACACAGGATTAGCATCAGTGTTGACATGGGCAAGATGTCCTGGGATTAAAACACATGGGAAACCAATGATGGGAAGGCCTGGAATTGCTATCTGTATAAGCAATTGCTGGATCAGAGAATCAGTATCAATAATAATATTATAAAGCTGCTTGTTATAATGTAAGAAAGTATTTCTAGGAAAGAAACAGAGGAAGAAAAACTCCTTGAGAAGTAGAATAATGGTGTGGAATGAACTTAAAATGAAATCACTGATGCATTTCATGCAAATAGGATAATATCACATCTAGAAACCATTTCTGTACATGAGATATATTTGCTGTGCTTTGCTATATAATGATACAAAACCTGGACAGTGGAACATATTTTAAACTTGCTTTGGTTGATATAAATAAGAAACTTTTGTATACCTGATCATTTTGTAAAAAGAAAATGCAGAACTTTAAGGAGTTTTGCATATAAGTAAATCTTGCAACATGTTTTAGTTTGGTGTTTCATATTATTCTTCATTTAAAAAAAAGAAGAAGAAAAATGCTTAATAAATAATTGTGACAATCATGACTTTAACACCTTCTAAGTGTTATTGTTGTCTGGTTCAGGCAGAATCAAAGTTTGTATCACCATAGTAAATTCATTTATTTTGAAGGAATTATAGATACATCTTGGCAAGAGATTCCATTGGAGAAGAATTTAATCTTATTTATCCTTCTACTTCCATAATTTGATTTTAAAGAGAAAAAAGTGTTACATACAGTCCTATTTTTTCTTGGAAATGCAGTTCAATGCTGTTATACCTTATTTGCTGCATAAGCAGGAGCTTGCATATGGTAAATAATAAAATTGGTTTCATATTTGCTACAGACTGAGACATTTCAGGTTGACATTTTTGTGAAATATAAATATTCACACAGTTATACTTCCGCATGCTGCTTCTGCATACCACGTTGGAGCATGGATAGGACAGTTCACTTAAGAGGTATGAGGAAACGGCCTTTAGTTGCACATTGAATATCAAGAGCAATGGAAAATGCCACATATTTTCCCCAAAGAGTTGAGTCATCAAGGGCAGTGCAATGGCAAGTCAGCATCCCAGGTTTTCTGAGCTGGGGAAAAGAAACACTCATGCAGCTTTATGCACATCAAAGTATGTGCAGAATGAGCCATATGAAACAGGCTTCTGCATTTAGCTGTCATTTCTCCAGACCCAGGGTCGTTTTCTTCCTATAAGACTTTTAGCTGAGATATACATTGCTCTGCATGAAGAATCAAGATACCTCATGCAGTAGTAGATCATTGAATCTTGGCTTGAAGTCTTGCTTTGTGTGTGTTTGTGTGTATGTATACATACATAGGGAGACACACACATGGGTATGCACACACATGCACATATGTATCTACACAGAGAGAGAGAGAGACACACACAGTATATATGCGTGTCTGCATGTGTATGTCTATGCACACCCGTGTGTACATTGAATTATGCATACAAACCAACAAAAAGTGATGTGCAAAACATCAAACTGCATAGTAAATATAGGACAGGCTGACCTCCCTTTTAACATCCACAATCTCAGCAAGAGACAAGGATAAACCTGACAAAACGGGAAGCCTCACGGACTGTTACAGCATCAACGGTTGGCCACTAAGGCAGCAATTATCTGAGTTTTTTTTATTCATTTAAGCAAACAGAAGGGGTAGAAGTAGTGAATAAGCACATCTTTTTTTAAAAAAAAAAATAAACCCCTTACTATGAAAGCTTAATAAGTAAATAATGGACTCTATATTTTCTCAGATCTGTTGGGTTTATTATGTGCTTGCCCAGTAAATTCTCCTCTTCTAGGACTTATGTTCCTCTACAGTCTGTTTTGAGCACAGAACATGAAAGAAGCAGAACGGTTGACTGTGTCTGCCGATAACAGGATTTGTTCCAATTTTACAAGAAAGCTTGATAACATTACTTCCTTACACATACACACATACACAACTTGATTCTGTTGTCTTCTTTTCAAATCCCACCTTCATCTTGACTTCTGGAAATGTTCGGTCATGATGCTGCTGCTGGTGGTTTTTGCCCCCTTTTTTCTTTCATCCTTTTTCTTATCAGCTAAGGCCATTCGTGGTGATACTGCCTACCATTCTTTTTTCGCTCTCTCTGCAAATGCTCAAGCTCAGCTTCATACATCATTTCCTGAACTAAGTATTTCTCCCTTCGCATTCTGTCACATAAGTCTTTGGGCATATCTGGAATCAGGTAGGCAATGAAAGACTTTATTCCAAAAACTAGATGCTGAAAGAGAGAGAGAGGGAGAGAGAGAAGACATTTTTAAAATGCTTATGCTGATCTGATGTTGTTTGGAATTCTCCTGTATACTTTCTTGAGAAACCAGATTTGCCCTTGTGGATTGTCCTTTTACAAATTTGTCCTTTGTAGACACATATTTCCATTTGTGTGTCTACAAAGGAGAGTCAACATCTGCAAGATGGCAGGCACATTAGGATTAAAGCCTTGTCTTGTGTGTGCCAATGTCATGCCATAGCCACCATCTTGACTCCTTTGAACCTTGACTCCTGACCAGCTCAAGATTGAGTCAGCCTTCCATCCTTACAAGATTGGTAAAATGAGGACCCAGATTGTTGGGGGAAATATGCTGACTCTGCAAACCGCTTAGAGAGGGCTGTAAAAGCACACTGAAGCAGTATCTAAGTCTAAGTGCTATTGCTATTCCTCATGGATGCTCTGTCCTTCAGTTTCCTCAAAACATCTCTTGTTTCATTAATTTTCAGAGTTCTTTAACATTTCTTTGGAATATTTAATTGTTACTGAAGATGGTAACAGTATTGAGTATCTGGGGGTGCAGATAACTAACAGTCTGAATTGGTCTCTCCGCACCTCATCCTTAGTGAAGTGTGCAAACCAGCATCTGCATATTCTGCGTTGGATGAGGAAAGCACATCTCTCTCCTTCTGTCCTGGCCACTTTTTACAGAGGCACGATTGAGAGCATCTTAACAAACTGCATCATTGTCTGGTTCGGTGGTAGCAATGCCTCAGATAGAAAGTCCATACAGAGAGTGGTAAGGACAGCTGAGAAGATGATAGGAAGCTCGCTTCCTGGTATTCAGGATGCTGCTTATAAGCACTATGTGCTTAGGGCTCAAAGCATTATTAGAGACCCCCACGCACCCACTTTATGGTCTGTTTTTGTTGCTCCCCTCTAGGAGGAGGTTTCAAGGTATTTCTAGCAGGACTACCCGATTCTGTAATAGCTTTGTTCCCTATGCCATCCATCTGGTAAACTTGCAAGATTTGCTTTTCTTGCCATGCACATGCATATATAATCCAAACTAGACTGTGTTGTCTCTCTCTGTGTCATATAATATATGTGGGTATATGCATAATTCTGTATTTATTTATTTATTTATTTATTTTTGTCATATTTATGTAGTGTATATTGGAGGTGGTGACCCCTTGAGAGCTGTATACAATGAAATTTCATTTTAATGTATGCCAATTAGTGTACATTCAAAGTGACAATAAAGTTATTAAAGTTATTATTCTACTGGATAATTTGGTTTATTATTTGGTGGGGGGTTTTTTGGGGTGTGTGTGTCATATTTTTGTCATCCTATTGCCTCTGTTGAAGTGAACTGAAGTTCATAAAAGCTTAGGCATTTTAATAAAATGTGTTATCAATGCTATCAAAGGTGCTACCAAATTCTTGACTTTTGGTCACTACTGCATAGACTAACTATGATATTGACAACTAAATCATGGAAAGTCAAGGAAGCCTCAGTTGCTTGTATATACAATTGCAGAATGAAAGAACCTCATTTTTGCCTTAACTCCATTAAGTACAAGAATTATGACTATTAATTTTTCTAACAATTTAATTCTCATTTTAATTAAAAATTGGGAAGCACATTTTCCATCAAAGTGAATAATTATGATTGTATCTCTATTAATACTTTTAATTTCCTTTATCCTACTGCTGATAGGTAAAGAAGCACATGGATTTTATCCTAACTAAGAAATATGATATAGACTTTGAGGTCTTTCAAGATCTTCAAATATACATGTTGACTTTAATGTGAGAGGCAGGGTTTCTGACAGCACACGTGCGATCCCTGGTGAAAAATAAGTTCTTTGTGGAATAAAATTAAGTTGGTGCATCACATGCTTAAATGTCTGATAAATTCATTTCACTCATTTTAGTAATGACTAAGCCTCTTTTATATTAACAATAATTAGAATGTATTTCAATTAAGTCACTCATAAATTTTTCAGCATTTGGGCACTAGGGGTGCAAGTCTCGGTTTTAGATAATTTCAGACATCATAAAATGTGCTTAAATATGTGTATGTTTTGTATGGATATGTGCAAGTGGATGCATGCATACATTGGTAGGTCACTCACTTGCTAATCAATATGTTTAGCCTATGATGTCACATGAATGCAGCCACTATTGCTACACTTCAAGAGAACTAAGAGAAACTTGCATGTTTCCCCCCCCTCCATAAGACAGCTAAGTGGGACTTCCGGTTCGGGTTCGTGGTGACTCCGGTCATGTGAAGAGATTTGTCTCTCCACTGGCTGTGTTTTCTTCGCCGATAGATCCCCTAGTGGGTCGAAAGTCACCCTGGAGGGGCGACCACTGAGGAGGAGGCTTGTTGGTGACTGTGGGAGGGTGGCAGCTTCTTCCACGGCCCCAGCTAACTCCTTAGGGCTGACGGAGCAAAGATCGTCCTGCAAGATGGCCGATTCCTTAGCTGCACCAGCCGAAAGTCACAGGTACATCTAAGCGTGAAAGACCCACCGCAGATGATCCGGGTGAGACCTCTCCTTATCCTCTCTTCACCCTACTTGATTGTTTGCCTGTAAAAGCTTTGTTGGAATTAATTCCCTGCCTTGAAAGAGCGGCGTTTGTATGCGTGGGAAGAAAGGCGGCTGAATAAAAAGACAGACAAGTAATTTCAATGACTATATTTTACTTTCATTTACTTTGGGGTACAAAATTTTTTTTTAGAGCTTTACTATCACTTTAAACTGGAAGAATATTTTTTTTTCCCACCTTTTCCTTTAAAAGAGAGAGAAAAGGGAAAAAATGGTGTCTGGGAAAGATTTTGTAACCTACTGAGGACATCTTGTGGCAAAAAGTTAATATTGCAATTATCTGTTTTTCTTTGGAGATGAGGTGGACTTGACCTTCAAACTATTCTTGAAGAGAAAAGATAAGCTGATCCAGCTGTGGGAAATTGTGGGGGTGGATATTGTTTATATATATCTTCCACTAAACGATAAAAGGGTCTCTCTTCAACTACTACTAAAATGGAGAAACCTTATTTACAACTAAACTGTAAACTTATAGTGGAAAAAATTTATGAAGCTACCAAAGAAGTATGCGCTAAAATGAAAGAGATTATTACAGAAATAAGAGCCAGAAGCTTTACTCCAAATTCTCCAAACCTTCAAACTGATCTCCAGACCTCATCTGACTATGTTACAAATCAAAATATACCAGAAGAAGAACTAATTGAGATTAAAGAGGAATCTATTTTACCTTCCATCCATATTCTCGAGGATCAGAAGAACCAAAGATTGAGAGTGGAACTTTTGAAGCAATGAAATGAGAAAAGAGCCACATGCCCATTACAGAGGACCGGGTGTTTTCTACTGATTCAAATGATATTACAAGTGACAAAGGGAAATCTACTTGCTGAGATAGAAGCTTTGTTATGGAAACTGGCCTGGCACAAAAAGAAAGCCAGAATAAGATTGAAAAGAGAAATTTAAAACTATATGTAATGGATTAAAAGGCACTGTAGAAATATGGATTGATTTAAGGTTTAAGACTTAGAGTTAGAAGCGAGAGAAAAATTGGTGATTACTAGAATATATATGTTAAATAGATTAAGAATGTAATTTTTGGAACAATAGGTTTATTTGTATGAAAACTATTTTGTAATGGAATGAATGAAAATGAAAGAGGTTTTATAGTGATTTGGATTGATTTAATAATTAAGTGAGTATGTTAATTTAGTAAGATGATGCTTTGTGTAATAATATGGGTGTTTCTAGATATGATAACTATTTGGACGAGATTTGAATTTTGCCTAATGGACTGAAATGGTTTAAGGTTTGGTATTATTTTGTTTTGTTATAGAGATAGACTGATTGATGGATGGTATATGTATAGGGTAGAGTTATATTTTATTTTAATAAGGATAAATATCGAGTAGTGGAAGAAGAAATAAGAGAGATTCGTGATAAAATTAAGGATTTAGGAGATTAAGAACTAGAATACATTTGGAAGGGATACCCGAAGTGATAATATGTTTATTTAAGGTTAAAGTAGATTATGGTAATTGTAAATTAATAAAGTTTAAAAACAGGATTAGGATTTATAGAAATTTAATGTAGAAGTGGATTATTTTAAATATATTATATTATTTCAGGGAAATAGAGTGGGAATATTTAATGTATTTACTTGGGTTATTTTATATGGATTTATTGTTGGATATTTGACTACCCCAGCACCACGGTGTGTCCTGAGCACTTTGTTGTAAGAGTTAAAAAATTAATAAAATTTGTTTTTTTTAAAAAGACAGCTAAGTGGCTCTCCATTCAAGTCTCAGTCCAACTCACCTCAAAGACGATAATGAAAGCCAATCGAGCTGCTAGAACATGCCAGAACTGCAAGGTAAATTCATATGGAGTTGAACTCCATGGAGGTGCTCTGTAATCTCTATACCTGTGACAGAAGTAGAAAAGGACAGCAGTTGATTCCATCTGTCTATCCATCCAGTGATCCTTTTCAGATGTCCACATCCACACCCATGCATGCCTAACCACATTCTTAGATATGTCTGTCTGTCTGTCTGTCTGTCTGTCTGTCTGTCTGTCTGTCTGTCTGTCTGTCTGTTTGTCTGTCTGTGTAGATACACACACACACACACACACACAGAGAGAGAGAGAGAGAGAGAGAGAGTCCCACACCCATGCATCTATCCATGCATCCATCCATGCATCCATCTATCCATCCATCCACATACATATAAATATATACATATACATATCTCACCCATACACAGACAAATAAAGATATTTCACCACCACAGGACAGCATAACTATGCTTATACATGAAAAGGGTTGAATATTTCATTACATTTTATTACTTATCACAGAGGTCCCCAACCTTTTGGGCACCAGGGACCGGTTTGGTAGAGAGACGTTTTTCTGTGGATCGGAGGGTGCATGGTTTTGTGTGCTGATTGCATCTTATGGATGGGGCTTTCCTTGTTTGTGCGGCCCAGTTGCTGGCATGCTGCAGCCCGGTACTGCTCCACGGACCAGGGGTTGGGGACCCCTGACTTATCAGGTTTTATTTATTATATTGAATTTCTGGTTAATGATCATAATGGATAGTATATATCTCTTATACTAGATGTGCACGCATGCGCACACACACACACACACACACAAAGAGAGAGAGAGAGAGATAGGAATATCTCCAGAAAAAGAAATGGGTCAACAGCAAATGGAAAAAGGGAAATGAATATGTGCTAGCTTGCTTCCCTAATCTTAAACTCTCCAAATAACTGTAGCACAAGTCATTTAAATGTTGGTTGGATTAGGCTGCATTAGGCAGAAGCACATTATAAAATGTGATCCTTCACTGTTTCTGGGAGAGCCACACCACGTGCACTGGAGATGTAAGTAGCAAGGGACTTTGTCTTTGTCAGACTTTGGCTGACGAAAAAGAGATGAAAACGATTCTTGTTTGTTTTGCAGCCTTTCTCAAAGGAATAGCAGTTTCTCTGCTTGGTGGGTTTGTTGCTGAACCTTTACTGAGATTTTTGTTTCTGTCATTTTTACCCTTACTTTGTTAGACTTTGTTATTTTTTACATTGCTATAAGTAGCTTTCAGCCCCAGAGACTTGCCCCAGACACTTAGGAATATAAACACTTTAGTTCAATTAAAAATGATGAATGCATATCGCACAAAAATAATTAATACAATTCACTTAAAGTTACGCAGCGTAACAATTTCAGTATCTCTTACTCAATCCCCACACATAGGGATGTCTTTTCATTTGCATGGCTCAGAATTAATATTTTCATTAATTGAAAGTTAAAAAGCAGTTGTGGAATCTAGGATTTTGACAGGCTTCCTCATAAATTAGAATGATCTTCATCCTGCAAGTTACCAAGTCATGCATGTAATACATACCTGCAGTATCCTGAATATCCTTTGCCGAGTTCACTCAGATCAAATATTGATAAGCTACTGTTGACATATCCCTTCAAACACCTAGGAGATTAAAAAAGACTAATTAATACATTTAGTCCTGAAGAATGACTTTGTCAGGAACTGGGCATGCAACACATGTTTCATTCACCCTCTTTGCCCTTACCCATGCATGCCTGTATATGTTATGGCATGCTGGTCATATTTTCAGTGGATGATGAAGACAAAATGTCATAGAATTCCATATGGGGGTAGCAGGAGCTATGTTGCAAGAAAACCATAAAGCTCTGAGTATGTGTGATGTTTATGCCTTGGAAATTGATGCATGCACATGTGGACTTTTTTTCTTTGGCTTAGACGTCCTAACTAAAGCTAAATAAAAATCTCTGTCTTGTTGTTTGGTTTCAATAATTATGGGATGCTAATTGAAACTAGGTTCCTTCTCAAAGTGAATAAGGATGTCAAATTGTGCTTATGGACAGGATTCTGATAGACAGCCCCAACAATATAAATCTGTATTTGGAATCCTGGGTTGAAGGCATTACTTTCTCATGATGCTATCACTGGTGAAATAATGGACACCAAGGTATCATGAATGGTTAAGTTGGAAAGAAGTAATATTTCAGTTTGCTAAATAATTATTTGGTTGATGGATATTTAGTACCCGTCCTACAAATGTTAAAAAATATAAGATAATGTTGATTCCATGGAAACTTCTATTTTGATCTAATTTATGCTGTTTTCATGCAAGTCTGATTTCAACTCAGTAAATATATATGTTTATTCCTGTTCAGATCTAAAAGAAAATGTTAATGAAATGAGGACCATGCCAAGGCATTTTCATGGAAACATTTATTGAGGTCATGGACTAAGGCTTAGAATAGAAGCCCATCTGTTTATTTCTTTATAAAAAGGATTGAAGATTATCTCAGAAAAAAAGGTTAGAGCCATAGCATGGATAATGGAGCAGAATTAGAGAGGGGAAAAAAACCACCTATCTGCATGATACAACAATTCCTCTGTTATACCTACCTATTAAATGTGTAACTGTAAAACCAAAGAATCAGAAAACATCGTCAATTGAAATTTGAAAAATTATTTATAGCAAAAATAAATGAAAATAAAACAGAAGACTATTAAGTCATTAATTGTCTAGTTCAGAAGTAAGCAATCTGATTTTGGACAAATTTTGGACTTCAACCATAGCCAATACATTGTTCATGAAAGTTGTGGCCCAAAACACATGAACAATCATAGTTAGTTTCCTTTTAACATAGATGGTATACTTTTGACATTATGGATTCTCTGTATTTTTGTAAGCAAACCCTGTCATGGTCTACTGATGAAATGCTAGGTATAGTGATATCAGGATATGAGATAAACGGAAATAAATGTTCTGAAGGTGGGGAATAGGATTAAGAATTTTTTATAATACTATTTTCATTGTTCTGGATTTTAGTTTCATTCTAAGTAAGGGCCCAAGGAACAAGTAAACTTGCAATATTATTTTATTTGTGTGATATTTGTCACAGCAGCATATTTTTTAAACAATCTTCACAGTCTTGAGCATATTAAGACACTGAAACTGTGAAGTTGTTCCACTAAATACAACAAATGTAAAAACAACACAATTCAGATGCACAGGCTGAAGATAAAGATCCTGCAAGTAGAGATTGGTTAGCATGATTTTTGAGCTTCATTGGCACAACCTTTAGTGTAGATGTAGTTTGTCAAAGTAGCAGTCGCAGACAAATTGCAAGAGATAAATTCCCCAAGGGGGAAGGCAAATCTGCTGACAAATTTTATGAAAATGCAGAAGTTAGGACATCAGTTAAAAAAAAAGTATAGCAAAGGCAGAATTACTTTTCCTGTCTGTATCCTTCGTTGATACAAGGTCCATATTTGTATGCATAAACAAAACGTGGGATATAGTCTGAAGTTATGGCAATAACAAAAGCATTGGTGATTACAGCTAGAACTCCTATTCCCTCGAGGATCCCATACCAGATACCTAGAAGAGAAGAATTATAGTATGACTAAATATAAAGCTGATAAAGCATCATAAAGATTTATTCAGTTACATAACAGAATTAGACAGCAATTTCCAGCAATGCTGTGTGTCTTGTCCTTTATTTGAATTAGTCTAGGAAATAAACATCCTCTTTCAGAACCAGTCTATCAACTTGCCCTTTGCTGTCACAATAAATGATAACCCATTTTGCCTTGTTTATAATTCTAACATCATACATGCATGAAAAATGGTGTTTTCATACTAGATAGACTTGTTACAGGAATCTCAGCTGAATGATGGCAATATAGAGATGGAACAACTGTTTGTTTGATCCAGTTCATTGCATTTTTACGCAGAACAGAGGCAAGTCTCTGAGGGTCTCTTGTTCAAGGTCTTTATGTCTTTCAAAACTACTGTTCTTTCCATTTCAGTTTATCCAACATTATCTGTTTTATTAATGAAAAAACACACTGGAATCTATGCACATGTAACTGACTTATAAAATGCAAACCACTTTTGCAAAATGAAATTTTGCCCCCAAAAGAATTCACAATGAGAAAATTGCAATGAATCCATAATGACGAACTATTTCTGCTGAAGAAGTCTAAGATTGGCAACATGCTGATTACATATAGAGGAATCTCACCTATGTCAGTTGCTCTTGCAGGCATTGGCCTCCTCCACTGTGTTACAAATTTGTATGCATCCAGCCTGATTTCTATAATATTATTAAGCAAAGCCAGCAAAGGTGCTAGTGGAAAAGCAGCAACAAAGATCGTAGTAAAGCCAAACTGTATAACTAGAAAGAAAATTCACATGGTTAGAAATAGGAAACTTGGTAAGCAAATCTTCTACCCCCCATAAAAAAAATCTTCTTTTCTATCGCAATGCTCACCCATTTCCAAGTATTCATCCATCAGACCATGGAGATTCATGGGCTGTAGATTCCAATCTTTTTCCCACTGAGATAAAGACACTTTATGTTCTAGTAACTGTCCTCCTTTCTTGATCTTGCGTCGTGACCACCAATTCTGGAGTAACCTACATTAGATAGCCAGAGCATGAAACCTGTAGCGTCACCTTGCAGGATTTCTGCCCCCCCAAAAGATGTTTGGATTCACCATTCTCTTCCTTAGACCACCTAAAGAAAGGAGATCCCTGTTTGTGCAGATGGTCCTATCAAGACCTGATGAAGTAATGATTATCTTGATGGCTTGTGCAAATTCTCTTTGACTTTCTTTCGTAATAATATATAATTATTAAAGGCAATCTGAGGTGGAATATATATTGATTTTGTGAATGCCTTGCATTAGGGTTAGAACTACTAAAATAAATATTTTGAAAATAGGGTTATAATGAAAGATTTCAATATGTACCCTACAAGAAAGTATAAAACCTGCTTTTGCTATTGGTGTGCTCTCTCTCTCTTGTTTTTTTTAAAAGTAAAACCTTCTGCAACAAATAAAATTGGCAAAAAACAGTCTTATTTTTATCTTGCTCTGGCATTATATTTAATATAATGTCTGTTTTTAGATGATATGATTCATTAATCTATTCAGTACCTACATTTCTAATTAATCCAAGGGATTTAAAACAAAAATCTTTACAAAATAGTATTCAACATATACTTAAATAATTATTTTGAACATATTTTCTCGTTCATGTGTTTTTTCTGGAAGTGTGCATGTATAAAGCTACTGCATCTTTTATATTTGCTAAATCAAGCAACAAAAAGGAATTACGGTCTCACTGAAATTTGGTGGCAACCATGTCTGTATCAAAATTTGCAAAAAACATAAGAAATATTTTTATTTTGTAGAAATATAAAGATACTATGTATCATACTTACGGATAACCAAGTTCCATGAAATTGTTCCACATTTGTTTTAAAACCATGATTACACCCATTTGCAGACACAGATCTATTAAGCAGCCACTTGGATGACACTATGGGAAAAAAATAGTAAAAAATAACAAAGGTGTTTTTTTTTAATTTAAGCCATTTTTGAAGTCAGTCCAGTCATTATAATTAATTTATTTGTTATATTAGGCAAATTATTTTATATCATTTGATGATTTATTTATTTATTGTATTTACATGGCCACAAAACATGACTTGTGATTACGATGAGTCATCAATTTTAAAAAGTGTAAGTCATAAGTCAGAATAGAACTGGAAGGGACCTTGGAGCCCAACCCCTTGCTCAAGCAGGAGATCCTATACCATTTCAATCAAATGGCTGTCCAGTCTCTTCTTAAAAACATCCAGTGATGAAACACCCACAACTTCTGAAGGCAAGCTGTTCCGCTGGTTCATTGTTCTCACTGTTAGGAAGTTTCTCCTTAATTCCAGATTGCTTCTGTCCTTGATTAGTTTCCATCCATTGTTTCTTGTCCTGCCCTCTGGTGCTTTGGAAAATGAGTTGACTCTCGCTCTTCTTTGTGGCAGCCCTCAAATACTGGAATACTGCTATCATGTCACCCCTAGTCCTTCTTTTCTGTAGACTAGGCACAAGTATTTAGCTTACCAGCAGCCAAAAAAACAAGCAGCTATGAAAATTAATGTTAAAAGGCAGTAGTTTATAAATTAATATAAAACTGGGTGAATAAGAAATACTATTACCTCTTCTAATCTCCATTTGTTAAAAAGTTTGTTGTACATTCCAGGACGACCAGCAAATCTGAAAGATAAGATTTCTGTTCCTCAACAAAATGTAACACGAAGAGAACAAGTTTACAAGTTGATAAATAAAAAAAGATTAAGCACAGTTTAGAATGATTTTGAAATTCTGTAGCTATCTTATAACACCACCATATAGATAACTTCTAGAACACCCTAGTGAAAGAGGTGATGTCAACTATACAAATTATCTTAGTTGTCGTTGTGATGCATATTAACAGCACTCCATTCTAGTTCTTTCTGATATCTAGTGTGAAATTATTTACATTATTTGAATCTACAGTAAGTCTGACCATAGACATAGCTTTTCATAACTCTCCATGAAACAGCAGTGAGGGCCAAAGAGTTTGAGAACAATGAGTACAAAATAGAGCATGAAAATTCATACAAAAGAAAGCCAGGAGTTAGACTGCAATTGGCAGAGGAACAAAGACACAATCAAGAGTATTGGAACAATGCAATCCTAGCATCTGCAAGAGGGGGCAAGTGACAAAAACAAATTTTAATGTAACAATGCACACTCTGTCTCTTACATACTTGCAGACCATATTCCCCATTTTGTCATCATCACAGTTAGAAACAGATGTCTAGGAATGCAATTCCCACATCACAATATGTATTCACCAAATATAATTTACACCATTTATCTCTGTCAATTTCAAATAGTGAGTCCCTGGTTGTTTGCTTTGTAAGCAAGAAACAAATGAAATAGAATTATAAATACTTATCTGAATTTCAAACATGTGTATACCATGTAGTAAATACATAGTGAAATATACAAGTGTGCACTTATCACATCTTCCCTTCCCTTCCCTTTCTTTCCCACTAATCCTCCCTCCCTCCCTCCCTCCCTCCCTCCCTCCCTTCCTTCCTTCCTTCCTTCCCAGCTTATATTTAGGCACTGGATTGTGAAGCACACTTTACTGTCCAAGGGCATTGTCATCCCTCTAAAAACAATTTCAATACATCACAAAATTATTTTCTCAATTCACTTTAAGTTAATTTACCTTCCAAGAAAAAATGCAATGTAGAAAATAGAACTGTTTAAATTGACAAACTGGAAAAGAAACATTTTCAAAGCAAAACTGTTTTCCCACTCTGAGTCTGTTCTGGGGTGTTCTATAAAAAGAAAACAAAATGTCTCAACAAAAATTCCTTCATAGACTGTCAAAGAACATAACATTTTTTTTATTTTAAGCATATACCATTTAGATTTCAATCTGCCTATTAAGTCAAATCTGAAACTTGAAATGTAAAAATACAGTTTTAAATTCTAGCCATAAAATGGATTTATAGTGAAATTCTGGGAGCCTTTGTAAATTTTTACATGGACGTTTTAGGAGATTATAGTGGTACACAAATACATCAAACAAACAAATTTAAAACATTTGCCAATAAAATAAATCTCTATATATATATATCCAAGCCCCCGTATACTTGGGAGTAAATTCACAGAACTCAATGCTCAATGTGTGACCACTAATCTAGGACTGTAATAGAAAATTATTATAATTCTATGACCATTAATTTCTTCAGTATGTTGGGTACCTGGATGAATTTTACTAGTTAGATCTTCAATATGATTTTCAGTGGAATGGGTAGTTTTGTGCCTATGGCTAGTAAATGTCTGTAGTCTTTAAAATCCTTTATTGCTAATATTAGAATTTAAGTTCTCTAGAAATTAGGGTGATCAGATCTGGGCTAAGGGGCAGCAATGAGATGTAGAAACATCTAACTGTCTCATTCAGTCTTTTGGAACTCAGGATTGGTAATCCTAGTGAAAATCAGGAACCACTTGCAATTCTGAAGGAATGTGAAGATGGATAACTGCATATATAAGCAAAAGGAAACAAGGTGGATAGCCAATTATTCTTATCCCTTTATCGCAAAGGATGATTAATAAGATAAGATTCAGGGTTTCAACAAAAAGTTCTTCACTTAGGGGTTATATTAGAGGTATATTGTTGGATGGGTTACAGTCATACAGGCTGTAGGGAAGAACGTAGAGCCAATTTAGTCTAATGGTTAAGGCACCAAACTAGAAAGCAAGAGACCATGAGTTCAAGTCTTGCCTTAGCCATTAAAGTCAGCTGGGTGACTTTGGGCCAGCCGCTCTCTCTCAGCCCAACTCTCACCTCACAGGGTTGTTGTTGTGAGAATAACTGGAGAAGGAAGATGTACTAGAGATGTTTGTCACCTTCAGTTATTTGTGAAAATAATAAGGGTAGGATATAAATAAATAAATAAATAAATAAATAAATACTAAATAAATAAATAAATAAATAAATAAATAAAATTATTAAGTTGATGAGCAAATAATCAGTTTGTGTTAATGGTTATTAGAACAAGGCAGAACAATGAAGAAACAAAGCAAAGTAGAATAATGTCATAACACTTTATTAATTTACTTTCTTATTTACTTGCTAAGGTTTATTTACTCTTTCCAATTTCAAAAGACTCGAGTGGTTTAAACCCTGAGTAAAGCTGTTGGATTAACCCTAATAGAATATAAAACCTAGGGCCAATATTGTATGCTGCAAGTGTCAAATCTCCAGTGGAACTAAAATCGCCTCAACTCCTGAAGGCTTTTTTGAAGAAACATTACTTACCTAGATCTGTTAAAAGATAGGCAACTTTTTCATATACCTGAAACCAATATAAGAGAGGAACATACATTTTAAAAACATCCCACTTTAAAGCATGATTTCAGCTCTAAAAAGCAGGTGTAAAAAGTAACCTCTAATCCAATTCCTTAATGATGAATCTTTCCTACTATAAACAATAGGAAAAAAAAATCAAAGGCAACGTATGCCTTACCTATGAATAGCTTGACCAGGATGGTGAATGTGTTAAGTGTTTGACCTCGAGAGATATACCATACACTATATCATTAGAATGCTAACAGCGAAGATTGGTCTGCTTGTGCCCGCAGAATGCATGCATTTTAAACTGGAATTTCCAGTTTTATAGACATCAGTCCAAGGAAAGTAATCCACACCCATTCTTTGAACTTCTAATTTCTCTCCTGGAAGTCAGGCAGATTTAAATCTGATATACACTTCTTGGAGTATCTCCATAAGTGTAAAAACTTTGTCTTTCTTGAGAGTGCTTTGCCTGCACTTGTTGTGTTCCAGATATGAGATTTCAGATAGTTTTCATATTGTTAGAGAAAGGCGTCAAGGATGAATTTCCCCAGTGCAATAAGCACAGAGAGTCATTAACAAACAGCAGGTTGCTATGACACATTTATTCTTTGCCATTTTAATAACACTGATAACTGCTATAGTAACGGATGCTGATTCCGTTGACAAGTTTCCTTCAAAATGATCACCTTACAAAATTGACAGTTGAGACAAAATCAGCTTGTCGTGGTGGCCTCTGAACTCTTATCTCTCTGCTGAATTTTTTTTTGAAGCCTGCCTTCCTGAAATGTGCATTGCCTCACTCAATATATTTTCTTGTTCAAGCCTTTGCCCAAATCTCCTCAGGCCTTGCAACGAGACAAAATAAACATTCTGAAACAATCATTTGTGGAAGGGGGACAAAAAAGTCAAGATGGCAGCTATGATCATGCAATTGAAACCTCACCACTTTCTCATGCCCTTAAAAAAAGGTTAAGGTTTCAGTGGTATATTTGCAATAACATCTTGGCTATTTAAAACCCCATCTGCAGTCATCCCTGCATTCTGGTGTTCATAGCACTTCCTGCACATTATAACAAAGTTTGCTTATTTGGTGTTAATTTTGAAATGTAAAAAAAAAAGTCATATACTGTACAGGCATGGAATATAGTCCTCAATATGGATTGAAAAACAGAAGGCCTCTTCTATTAAAGATGCAATGTTCTTAGAGAGATTAGAGATATGGAAGTAGAGGGATAATAGCTATGAAATCCCCCAACTGCATTCAGTTCAATAGCATTTTGACAAGGGAAGCGATTTGCTTGTTTCCCCTCAGTTCAATTTTAAAAAGAATGTCTAATTAAAATCTTGTTTACTGCAGCAGGAAAGGCTTCTGTGAAGTTATACCCAGATTTGAAATGCAAATTGGGCTGCATTTAACTTCCAGATTTTGCCCTTCTCTGACCTTTATGATGTGGGCATCTGCAAATATTAACGTTTATATTTTCAGAACTTCCACATTCTTTTGTTGTTACTTATATTCCTTTTGCTGAAATAATAACGTGCTACAGTCTAAAATACAAATAATAATAGGACTAGGGTTGATGGCAAATAGTAATAGTAGTAGCAATAATAATAATAATACACCAATATGTATATAAAATATATATTTTAAGAGAAATATATGTTTTTCAGGGAAAAAAATCTCAATTAAATACCTATTGCCTCACTGTGTTTAAATTGCACAACAATCAAGAAATAAAATTATGTCAGCATAGAGTGAATGTATGAGAATGAACAGTTCCAAAATTCCTACTTCAGTCAGGGGACTGAAGTTGGTGTTATATCATTGATGTGTTTTTCTTTTTTTCCCCAGACATTGAGTGGCTTGAATTTATTAATATTTCAGTCACATTCAAATTCAGAACAAGTTTACAATTATGCATTTAATGTTTTTCTGTTTCTGTTCTGAAATGGAAGGCTTCATGTGAAGATTGCAAGTATTCCCTCCGGTTTCAAGCGGTCTGCACTATGTAGTTTGAAGTACCAGCCAGCTAATTAAGTCCCCCTTATTTTTCAGTAGTAGTATACCTTAGTGTTTACTGTATGGATGCCCATCTTATTACTAACGGTCTGCAGAATCAAATGGCTCTTTGTTCAGCCCCTGAGAGTGCTTTCTAGCCTGATTTGGCTGGAAAGTATGAGTGCTTTTATCATGTGAGGAAGGCAAATAGCAATCAATCAATGGGCTTCCTCAGCCATGGTTTGACTGCAAATATTTGCTGCAGAACGGCCTGACTTGCATCTGCTGTAATCTCATTTTCAGCCCAAGCACTTTCATCTGCCTTGCTTTAGGGATTAAATTGTGATGGTAACAGTGTTTTGTTTTTTTAAAAAAAGCATTCTCATTCTTCTAGATTCTGATTTTAAGCTAGCATTTTGAGCTCTCTTTGCTGATATATCGTAAACTGCCTAGAAAGCTATTGTTAACTATTTAAGATAGTTCAGCAATTGGCTGTTTGTTGAACACTCTTTGAACATTAATTTAATCATTGTATTTTAAAACCTTTCAAGAAGCTCAGGTTTATTTACAAGTGTCTACGGGGATTTTCAATCATCAAGGTCATGGTTGTCCCAAAGGTGCTTTTTTCCAAAAGGCAACTGGACTTTTTTGGGTGTTTTCTTTGAAAACATTCCGTTTCTCATCCAAGAAGCTTCTTCAGTTCAGTTTGGAAAAAAAACATCTTTGAGATGTTTATTTAAAAGGTTGTTTCCCCACATTCACGTTATAGTCATGGCAACACGGTGGTGGACATTAAATTTAAAGATAACTAATTAACTCTGAATTCCATAACACAGTAGGATCCCAGTTCTTAGTCTTACATTTTTTATCACATTAGCTCTTGATATTAATTGTGACAGACTCAGCATTTTAAACAGCTTCCATAATTAAAATAGTTCTGTGTTGTTCTTAAAAACTGAGCAATTACACTTATATTTGAACAGAAAGAGTTTCAGATATAAATTAGATTCTAAACTGGAATCAGTTCCATTCAGATTTGTTGAGATCATAGCAAACTGGCCAACATAGTGTATCAACTTTCTATTTTAATACATTTATTAATATATCCACTAATAGATAAAAAAGTGAGGAACTTACTACATTAAGGGACATGATGATTATAAAGTTGATGCAGACTCCAGTGCCTGAAGTTGCAAACTGCCAGTACATTTTTATGAAATACCACTGGAAAGAGGCAAACCGCTCCATAGCCACTAGGCGATAAACCACCACTGCGAACACTGCAGTTAGCACTAATGAAATCTGCAGACACATAACAGTTGAAGAGACACATACAATTGAGCATTAAGACAAATACGTGACTCCTTTATTAGTTGACTCACCTGTACAGGTAAGTCCTTGACTTACAACAGTTCATTTAGCGACCGTTCAAAGTTACAATGACACTGAAAAAAGTGAGTTATGTCCATTTTTCACACTTATGACCGTTGTAGTATCCCCATGGTCACATGTTCAAAATTCAGACGCTTGACAACTGACTCATATTTATAACCATTGCAGTGTCCTGAGGTTATGGGATCCTCTTTTGTGATCTTCTGAGAAGCAAAGCCAATGGGGAAGCCAGATTCACTTAACAACTGTGTTACTAACTTAACAATTGCAGTGATTCCCTTAACAACTGTGGTGAGAAAGGATGTAAAATAGGGCAAGATTCACTTAACAAATGTCTCACTGTTGAGCTTAATTGTGGTCGTAAGTCGAGGACTACCTGTATTGTTCATTAGGTCAGAATAATTGGAGAAATATTAACAAGGAATACAAGAAGAATTAGACAATTTCAGGGATTTTACCATGAAAAATATTCCTGACACAGATACCATCAGTCGACTAAGTTTATCAGGAAAAGGTTGAAAAGGTTCAGGCTTTCCTGTTATAGGGTTTACTCGCTCCACTTGAGAATATTTTGCTTCAAACTGGGGACGAAGTTCTTCCTGCAATTACAAAGCTTTAGTTTAATCCAGATGTGCTTGTAAATAGGTAGATAGATAAGCTTTATTGTCATTTTTTTTTTTACTGTGGGCACAATGGCATACATTAAAAATGAAATTTAGTTGCTTGCTCGCGAAGTGTACACATACATAACACACATTTAAACATACTACATACAACATATGTATAGACCTATGCCCTTACATGTAAGTAACATATAAATATTAATCACTGTCCATCTTGAATGCATAACGGTAGGAGGAAGCTTTAGAGTTCACCAAGTTAACACTGTATGGAACAAAACTGTGACTGAATCTGAATGTTCTGCTTCGGATACCATGGAGCCTCCTCCCAGAAGGTAACAAGGAAAACAGGTCTTGAAGAGGATGTGTAGTGTCCCAGACAATCTTGCGGACCCTGCTCAAGTAACGCTTATATGCTATGTCCTGGATGGAAGGGAGGAAACTGCCAATAATCTTTTTGGCCATCCTCACCACTCTCTGCACTGCCTTCCTGCCTGAAGCAATGATGCTTCCAAACCAGACTGTGATGCTGTATGACAGGATGCTCTCGATTGTCCCCCTGTAGAAAGTGGTAAGGACAAGGGGAAGGAAGATGTGCTTTCCTTGTCTGTGGTTATATGTCTGTCTGTACTGCAAATAGTGGACTATATGCATGTACATCCAAATTCTAGAGCACGGTTGGTTGCAACGACAAGCTAGCATTATGGAAACACATGGAAACACATTCTCAGAAAGGTGATCCTGGCATGAAAATGTAATATATAAACTATTTATTTATTTGTTTATTTGTTTGCTATTCAAACTTGGATGCTACTCGCCTTGCCCAAGATGACTCTCTATATAGAAGTGATTGAAAGAACTTTATCATCTATCTCTATCTCTTTAAATGCTTAATTCAGTCAACATTCTATTATTATTCATGATCATTTGTCAGGTTGAAATCTTATTCAAGTTTGTATGCGTGTGGGTATGTGTATACACACACACACATACACACACACATTCAAATAATTAGGTATAAAAGAAATCAAACTGAAGTTGACATTCAATAAGTATAAGTTGTCAAAAAGGCAGACATGTTGCATGATAGCTGTCAATCTTGAAAATCAATGCATGTTGATATCAAAACTGCTATAATAAAGGATTTTTACCTCTTCATCTTCCCAGTCTATGAGGTCCCAGTCATATGTAAGTACAGCTCGTCGTCGTTTCCAAAACTCTAAGAAGACTGTAGCTGTAAAAAACCATGAAATATATGTCAATATCTTATCCCTGATTGACAGTTTATTGGTCCACAGTTTATTGGTCCACAATTCCAAATCCCTGATTGACAGTTTATTGGTCCCTGATTGACAGTTTATTGGTCCACAATTCCAAATTCAGAAAGGAATTCTGAAAAAATGGTATTTTCTATTTTCTTGAATACTTTTGTAGTACAGGGGTTTATCCAGTTTCATAAGACATGTAAAGCCGAAACCTCTGTGGTTTACCTTCCTATCTCTTTGCAAACAATGAGGCATTACATCCAGAAATTAAATTTGCTAAAGTAAAGGGCCGTTCTCAGAACTAGTTAAGAAAAATTGCATATCTGCTTTCATGTGAAAATTCATGTTGGTTGATTTTAAGTTGCAAATGTCATACTTAAAAAAAAATAACAAAGGGTAGGTATATCTATAGGCTTTTCACTAATCTAATGACTGCCCCAGGGCTGGCTTTAGGCTAAGGCCAAGTAGGTATTGACTTGAGGCATCAAAACTTAGGAGTCATCAGTGCCACCTCTCCTTCCAAATAGTTTTAAAAATACAAATCATCACATCAGCAGAAGATGGCGCCATCAGTCAATGTGGCTGAGGAGTGCCATATGTCCTTAAGTAGGCATTGCCTTGATGGCCACATTTTCAGCGTTACAAACATTAAAGAAAGACTAGATGGTTGGGGACTGCACTGATAAGCTTTACTATTTCCCCATTGCCACTGCTCCATCTTAGCAGTGCTTGCAGAAGATTTCTGCTGACCTTTTCTGAACATCATTTTTGCTATGTTATACAATTCATGTTTTTTAATTTCTCACCCAAGAGCATTGTGCAGTGCTAACATGACAGGTTACCTGTCAGGTCATCTTAAAGAAAAGAACCTGCCCTTTTGCAATGTGTCCTAGAATTTGTTATGACATATTTAGTAAGGGATTAATAATAGGTCGATGGAGGCTCTAATCCTGGCAGATTTCCTGGGAAAAGAAACCTTAAAACCTTTGTCCCAGATAGCTTGAGTACTTTACTGGAAGTTGATGTAATAGGACAGAAATTCATTCATACATACATACATACATACATACATACATACATACATACATACATACATTCATTCATTCTAAATGGCTGTTCACTATAGGAAATCTGGGCAACTAACAACATTTAAACAAAAGCTAGCAAAGTTGGGACCATTCTAATCTTGAGGAAGAAATTGTTTTCCCCACTAAAATGTTAATTGTAGCTTTTAATGTAGTCATTGAGGAATAGCAATAGCAATAGCATTTTAGGCTTATATACAATGCCATAGTTCTCTGGGACATTTACAATGTAAGCATTATTTACATATTGGCCCCAACAATCTGGATCCTCATTTTACTGATCTTGGAAGGATAGAAGGCTGAGTCAACTTTGAGCCCCAGCATGATCAAACTCCAGGCTGTGAGCAGAATATGCCTGCAATACTGCACTTAACCACTGTGGCAATAGGGCTGCTACTACTACTACTACTACTACTACTACTACTATATACTACTGCCCATCACTTTTATCATTAATATTGTACCTGAGATGCTAATGTGGTACTTAAAACATGGTTAAATATTTCATTTTGGCATCGTGGTGTTTAGAAATAGATATCCATCTACTTAAAATGTTACACATTGGACAAGGCACATAGAACTGGATCTATCTACTAATTATCTATTCTTTTTGCATTTGAGCCTCAGTCATTATGAAAGTCATTTGGATGTCATATTAGGTATAATTACTCATAGTCATATTTTGAGACGGTAGCTATATAAATTTAATAAATAAAAATAAATAAGTAAAAGGAATCATGAATTGTCATAATGACACTCTACAATATTTTTAATTATGTGGTTTTGGGAAAAAATGTACCCTGTTCTGGTGCAGAGTAGCTTGTCTGAGAAATTATCTGAAGTAGTCTATGAAGTATCCTTAAAGACTTCAAGAATTTTAACTAAGAACAAACACAGCACATTTCAGTTACACCTGAGTTCCTTCCTCAAAACACTCGGAAAAACACAACGTTACCAAAGTGGACTCTTGAATATGCTGTTAGATAACCTGACACACTGAAAAGTCATCACATATAGGAAAGGAAATAAAGGCATACCTTACAGGAGATGTTTTTAAAATGTGGAAATACTTGTTTATTTAGATTTATTCAATTGTAAAAGTTAAAATAAATATCGTGAGAATTACTGGTAAAAAGAATAGGCAAAAAGCAGCTCTTCTGATTTTTCTTCTTCATGAAACCCAACAAAAAATGGTTCTTGGTTAGAATGGGATAGACAGTTTTACTTATAGAAGAGAATATTTGCAGTTCAGGGTTGAACTGTTGGGGTTCTTGGTACTCTCTGAGCTTGGTGTTTTTCTTGCAGAAAGTTGAAAGGATCACACACCTCGGTTCTAATCTACATGAAAGCTGGGACATGACCACTGAAGTAAAGACAAGGATAGAGAAAGCTCGAACAGCATTCTTCAAAATGAAAAAGGTCTTCTGCAGTCATGACATAAGCCTAAGACTGAAAATCAGGCTTGTCAGATGCTATATTTTTCTATCCTGCTCTATGGAGTAGAGAGTTGGTCTCTGACAGAAGGCCACCTGAAGAGACTAGAAGCATTTGAAATGTGGATTTACAGGCAGCTGTTACGTATAAGCTGGGTTGATAAGATCAGAAATGAGGAGGTGATAAGCCGCCTGGGAAAGCCAAGGGAAATCATCAAAACAATTAAAAAATGAAAATTAGAATATTTAGGACATGTGATGCGACACCCAGAAAAATACGGCATACTCCATTTAACCCTCCAGGGAAAGATTGAAGGCAAACGAGGTCCAGGCAGAAGAAGAACATCGTGGCTTCAAAATCTAAGGGATTGGTTTGGACAAAACTCAGCAGCACTTTTTCGTGCGGCTGCTGATAAAAACAGGATCACCAACATGATCGCCAACGTCCGATAACGGATATGGCACAAGAAGAAGAAGTTTTATTATCAAATTAGTTAACATTGTCAGTGCTAGAAGGGAGTGGAGCTTGCTCTTATTTTTATATACCAGTGTCTACCAAAGCAGGCAAACAAGCTAGTAGTAAACAACAACCTAATCATGGAATCAACAAGAACACTTCTATCAGTACTGACAGAGCCAAGCCAATAGTAAATAAAAATAAGACCAAACCCCACTCGCTTCTAGCACTGATGATGTTTGGTAATGAAACTTTTGCAAGAAAACCACTTAAGAACCTCCAGAGTTCTACTTATTAAAAAGTGATCTTCCCCTTTCCTCAACTTCCCTGACGAGGATCATCATTTAGAAGAGTTCTTGTCTATGAAGTGATGCATTTTAGGAATTTAGGAGACTGCACAGGGCTGGAGAAAATGGAAGCGTTGTTCTTCAAAAAGCTTTCTCTCTTTGATTAGTAGGCTGCATATATAATTAGTCATTTAGTCTCGTGTCAATCCTTGATGTATGCTAGACAAGAAGAGCATATATTGTATGTCTGGCCTAAACAAAAAGAAAAAAGAAAATTTAATATATCCGTTTCTTTTAACCAAGGGATAAGTCAAACGTTATAAATCTATATTTCAAATTGTCGTTACAACGGAGTTCGACTTTTTCTAACTTTGGGTCACCCAACCCATTTTGTCACTGTCAGGAGATTATTTTATAAAACCTTAAACCAAAAAAAACTTTTAGAAAGACAATTAATTAAAACCACAAGTCATTTGGATCGTCAGCTCAAAATGTTAAGTAGTAAAAGTGTATATTACAAAATTGGCAATCCCTTCTTAACGCCCCCCCCCCACTCTCTGTTTTGAAATAATTTTTCTCATAGAACACATAACACGTCATGCATTATTGATGGAAGTATCAGAATTACCCAGCCCCTTAATTTCAATAGTTTCACATTCTATGAATGGTATGCCTTCACAATGACTACCGAGAAGCAGTCATTCTGGTTCTCAGGTGCTCTGTTACACCCAGAGAAATAAAGCCCCACCTAATTTCATTCCTACTCTGCATTCCTGTCCACTGCAGCATTGATACATTTCCATTACTTGCCTTCTCTTCTTTACAGCAGACTACTAAGCTAATTGCACTCCAGTTTAGAAGCAAATAATTCCAACACTTCCCTAACATTGTTGAGTTGTAAAGGTAAGAGGTTTTCTTTTCGTGGCTTTTATTCAGCCATTTCACTTGCAGTCACCTTTTGTAAGTGTGCTTGATTAAAAACTTCTGTTTGTGTCAGCTAGGTTAAATGTCAGTTAAATGATCTGGCACACTTCTGGGCAATTCTTAAAGAAATGCAAAACTAGCATATTTAACTGATATTTTGTTTATAACTCCTTTTTGTGTTCATTGGTAGAAAGTCTCGATTTGTGAAACTGTAGCTGATGTAGCACAGTATTACTTTAAATGCTAATTTGTTTTCACTACATGTACATAGAGGACTACTCCAACAATTTTTTTACTGGTTGTCAACATTCTGGCTGGGTTATTTTATTATTACTATTATTACACTGCCTGTCAACTTCAAAGTTTGGATTTCATCATTTGCAGGTTAACACTTTTTCATAACAATGTAAAAATATGTGGATATATACTCCAGTGAGTATAATGAAGTAGTTTTAAAAAAACACCTTTTGACAATCAAAGTTTACAATGGAAAGGAAAAAAGAGAGATCATAACCAGAATTTTACATGCATGGTTCATTATATTTTAGTACTTTTAACCTCCATGCATATAAGATATTTTAACTTTAAAGTTATTTACTTTAAAATAAGACTATATTTAATTGTAAACATTTAATACAAGCTAGATCCCCTTTTTATACAGTGAGAGTGAAAGAAAGAAAAAAATAACTGATAAGTGTGTATTCCTACTTCATGGCAATGAAAACAAAGACATGTAGATCATCTTTTGAAGAGATTGTTACAACGCTTGTAACAATTAAGAGACTTACCAAATTCTAAGTGTGACTCTAGTTTGGAAGTGGTACATGGGCTTTTTTTACTTGGATTAATTCTTGGTGGCTTGAATTATATTTTTTTAAACTGAGAATAAGCTGTTTCATTCATTGTTATTTTTATTTACTTTTTCAATTAGTTTTCTGTTGGATGTATTTATTATTACAGTCCCTCTGAAGGGAAAGAGTAGTAATGGTCTAATGATCTTTAAGATCTGGGCTTAGCATCTCATAGTAAATTCAAGCCAAATCAAGGCTGAGAACTCACGAACAGATTGCCTGAATTTAAAGACACCAGTTGCTAAAGCCATAGACCCAGAAATGCATCAGATTAGACTACCACAATGCACTTCATGTGCACTGAACCCTACTTGGAAATTGCCATTGATGCAGAATTCAGTTGCCCATTTCTTGGTGAAAGCTGCTATAGTAAGGTAAGGCCTATACTTTGGGGAACTGCATTGGCTTCCATTACATTTCTAGGCACAATTCATACTGTTATTTTTTACCTTAAATGACCTCAGTGGCTTAGCTCCCAGAAACAGTCCAGGTAGGGTTAATCCATCCTACATGCTCATCTCAGTTGATGGTAACTGTTACTCCCCATACGAGATAGATGAGAACTGTGAGGCCCTTAGACAATGATTTATGTAACTGCCTCCACTTTGAGAAATAGCTTTCTCCCAAAGTTCAGACCGGCACTGACTTTGGGTCATTCCATAAGCCTGCCTAAGATGGAACTTTTTTCAGATCATTGTTGATTAATGTCATGTTGCTATGGTTGATTGTATTGGTGCTCCTGGTTATTTTTTTTATTGATTCTATTGTTTAATATTTCTTTTTGGACTGTTTTAATTATATATCTCTTTCATGGTGTGCATACTATAAACCACCATAGGTCATTCTGCATTTGGTGATAAACAAGTGAAATCAATCAATCAATCAATCAATCAATCAATCAATCAATCTATATATATATATATTGATTGATTGAATATTACTTTGGGTAATATATATATATATATATATATATATATATATATATATATATATATATATATATATATATATATATATATATATATATATATATATATATATATATATATNATATAACATACAGACCGGATTTGTTTTTCTTTTTTCTTTTAAATTATATAGGCAAAGAAAATTGGTTCCCTATTCAGTTTGCAATATTTAGATATAAAGTTTAACAGCAATGTTGCCTCAAGCTGAAAAAGATTGAAACCCAGTGGGTTGGGTAAAACAGTGACAGTCCTCTAATAAAATATTTTGGAATTTGGTTTTTTAAACTTTTTGAAAGACAATTAATTAAAACCACAAGTCATTTGGATCGTCAGCTCAAAATGTTAAGTAGTAAAAGTGTATATTACAAAATTGGCAATCCCTTCTTTACGCCCCCCCACTCTCTGTTTTGAAAGAATTTTTCTCATAGAACACATAGCACGTCATGCATTATTGATGGAAGTATCAGAATTACCCAGCCCCTTAATTTCAATAGTTTCACATTCTATGAATGGTATGCCTTCACAATGACTACCGAGAAGCAGTCATTCTGGTTCTCAGGTGCTCTGTTACACCCAGAGAAATAAAGCCCCACCTAATTTCATTCCTACTCTGCATTCCTGTCCACTGCAGCATTGATACATTTCCATTACTTGCCTTCTCTTCTTTTCAGCAGACTACTAAGCTAATTGCACTCCAGTTTAGAAGCAAATAATTCCAACAGTTCCCTAACATTGTTGAGTTGTAAAGGTAAGAGGTTTTCTTTTCGTGGCTTTTATTCAGCCATTTCACTTGCAGTCACCTTTTGTAAGTGTGCTTGATTAAAAACTTCTGTTTGTGTCAGCTAGGTTAAATGTCAGTTAAATGATCTGGCACACCTCTGGGCAATTCTTAAAGAAATGCAAAACTAGCATATTTAACTGATATTTTGTTTATAACTCCTTTTTGTGTTCATTGGTAGAAAGTCTAGATTTGTGAAACTGTAGCTGACGTAGCACAGTATTACTTTAAATGCTAATTTGTTTTCACTACATGTACATAGAGGACTACTCCAACAATTTTTTTACTGGTTGTCAACATTCTGGCTGGGTTATTTTATTATTACTATTATTACACTGCCTGTCAACTTCAAAGTTTGGATTTCATCATTTGCAGGTTAACACTTTTTCATAACAATGTAAAAATATGTGGATATATATATATATATATATATATATATATATATATATATATATATATATATATATATATATATATATGCATTTCTCCAGTGAGTATAATGAAGTAGTTTTAAAAAAACACCTTTTGACAATCAAAGTTTACAATGGAAAGGAAAAAAGAGAGATCATAACCAGAATTTTACATGCATGGTTCATTATATTTTAGTACTTTTAACCTCCATGCATATAAGATATTTTAACTTTAAAGTTATTTACTTTAAAATAAGACTATATTTAATTGTAAATATTTAATACAAGCTAGATCCCCTTTTTATACAGTGAGAGTGAAAGAAAGAAAAAAATAACTGATAAGTGTGTATTCCTACTTCATGGCAATGAAAACAAAGACATGTAGATCATCTTTTGAAGAGATTGTTACAACGCTTGTAACAATTAAGAGACTTACCAAATTCTAAGTGTGACTCTAGTTTGGAAGCGGTACATGGGCTTTTTTTACTTGGATTAATTCTTGGTGGCTTGAATTATATTTTTTTAAACTGAGAATAAGCTGTTTCATTCATTATTATTTTTATTTACTTTTTCAATTAGTTTTCTGTTGGATGTATTTATTATTACAGTCCCTCTGAAGGGAAAGAGGAGTAATGGTCTAATGATCTTTAAGATCTGGGCTTAGCATCTCATAGTAAATTCAAGCCAAATCAAGGCTGAGAACTCACAAACAGATTGCCTGAATTTAAAGACACCAGTTGCTAAAGCCATAGACCCAGAAATGCATCAGATTAGACTACCACAATGCACTTCATGTGCACTGAACCCTACTTGGAAATTGCCATTGATGCAGAATTCAGTTGCCCATTTCTTGGTGAAAGCTGCTATAGTAAGGTAAGGCCTATACTTTGGGGAACTGCATTGGCTTCCATTACATTTCTAGGCACAATTCATACTGTTAATTTTTACCTTAAATGACCTCAGTGGCTTAGCTCCCAGAAACAGTCCAGGTAGGGCTAATCCATCCTACATGCTCATCTCAATTGATGGTAACTGTTACTCCGCATACAAGATAAATGAGAACTGTGAGTCCCTTAGACAATGATTTATGTAACTGCCTCCACTTTGAGAAATAGCTTTCTCCCAAAGTTCAGGCCGGCACTGACTTTGGGTCATTCCATAAGCCTGCCTAAGATGGAACTTTTTTCAGGTCATTGTTGATTAATGTCATGTTGCTATGGTTGATTGTATTGGTGCTCCTGGTTATTTTTTTATTGATTCTATTGTTTAAAATTTCTTTTTGGACTGTTTTAATTATATATCTCTTTCATGGTGTGCATACTATAAACCACCATAGGTCATTCTGCATTTGGTGATAAACAAGTGAAATCAATCAATATATATATATCAGGTTTTTTGTGTGTGCATGTGTGTATATGACACTTTTAGAAGAAAAGAAATTTATTTTATTATTTAGAAGATCTTACCTTAAAAATAACTCTGGTTTTCTTTTTACATGCATAAACTCTTAATTTTATACTGCCAGTTGCTTTCATGTACAAAAGAAATATTTATGCAAAATTCAAAGATGTGTGTTTTGAACATGCTTAATATTAAATGATAAAATAATATTTGAATAGTTGCTAAAAAGTCACATTAGTGTTTTATTCTTTCTGTTTGTGGTTTTATAGTTATTAGCTATGACCGAATACTACAGAGTATGACAAATAATTTTATCATTCAGGCTGTGAATTGGTAACCCAGATTAAGCATATTAATTATATATTGGATAATTTCACTTATGGAGAAAAATTAACTAAATTGATTTGAGTCAATTAACAAGAATAATAGCTACATTTGGAATAGAACTAGCTAGATAAAATGCATATTAAAAGTAACAGTAACCTGTGATTAGTTTTGTATGTATCTGGCTAGAATGACAAAATAATTACAAGCCATTGTAAATGTAGTCTGATTGCATTCACAGAAATAGCCTGTGATTAAACAGATGCTGACACTAAGGCTGGATATTAATGTCATGTTAGGCTGAGAAATTATTCACAATTCAAAAAAAAATCTGATTGTTTTAATTTCACTTTTGCTTAAGTCCACATCAGAAAGCAAAGGCAATGAAATGAGGTTGACAGAAAGCAATTTCTAGTTAATGTGTAATGGCAAAAGGAAAAAAAACCTTAGAAAATCTGGGGAAATACAGGGTTAAACATCTATCATTTCTCAAAAAAAAGTAATGGTAGATGTTTAATGCTGTTCATAAATTTGTTCAGGTAACAAGAAAAAATATTCTGAATAATAAGGATGTGAGAGAAAAATAGTCACAATATTCAAATTAAGATGGGGACTAAAATTCAATAAGGAATAAATTGGTTGCAGGTGCTGTTTTCTTGTAGCATTCAGAGTGACATAAAATGACTGTGAATGTTAAAACATAACATATGAAAGATGATAAATATATTCTGACTTCTATGTGCCTTTTAGCTTATAGACACATCCTTGGTCTTCCTGCATTAAAAAAAACCACTAAAGGATGATACAAATATTTGAGAGAATTGACGTATGATGCAATTCATGTAAAAATAATATGAAATGGATTTAGATGCATCCCTATCAGGATCTCATTAAATTGGGCCAGATTGCTCCAAAATATAATCAAAGATTGCAATAAATCTGATCTATTAGTAGATTTTGCAAGGATATTAGTAGAAAGGGAACTAAGAGCATAATTTTAGCATTTCTTATCCATGGGCTTCATGTGTATGTCTTTGGTTTATATTAAGTGGAATTGCCTTCAACCAGGCTTCTGCCACTGTCCCTGGCTATGAAATTAGTCATCTACTTCCCCCACTTCAACTATAGTTTTCTGAAAGCAGATGGCACTAAATACATAAACATTCTTATGTTAACATTCTACATAATAAAAGAACAGACTCTCCCTAGGACATCAAGAAATTTGACCTGGATACCATGTTCTTAATCCTAATTACACAGATATCGAATGTATACAAAACATAAATGTATCTCAGGAAAATATTGTTCTCCAATGCATGAAAAAAAATGTATGAACAGTTCACATTTACAAATGACACATTTTATTTTTGATTTACTGGAATTTCCTAGTCCCATTCAGAATATCAGCAGTAGAACAGGAAGGTGTTCTCTGTGAATATATTAAATTCCATTAAGAACCCAATGAATTTTTAAACATGTTCCCCTTAGGCACCGTATACCAAGAAACAAGTACTGAGGCTGTTAAAGAATGCGAACAACTGAGGGCATATTGTTCATGTTGCTGCTGATTAGCCTGCAGTTGGCCAGAAATCACAGTGAAGATGCAGTGAATTCCACATCTTCAAGAAGCAGTGTAAGCAGCACACCTATGAGTCCAACTCCATTTAATGTGACCTCTGACAGAACTTCTACAGAACGTAGCAATACCAGTGATAGTCCAAATGATAGTACTATAACAGAAAGCAATACTCCAAGCAACAAGACCACCTCAACCCTGACTCCAACATCATCTCTTCACACTGTGTTATTACCAACAACACATCCGCCAACTTTAACTACAAAAGATGTAAAGCATAGAGTATCCTCTTCGGGAATGCCTGCAAATACTTCTAGAAGTTATGAAGCCACCACTTACTTCAAGTCATTTGAAACTGAATCAAACAGTGTCACCACAACCACCCCTAACATCAGTTTCCCGACCACGGTTTCCCATAACACAACTCAAGTAGATGGTTTAACATTTCGTCCCACTAAAAATCTATCAAATACAACAGCTATGTTGCTAACCACCAAGAGTAGTGCTGTTACAACTGAATTATCAACAAGTGTTCCAACAACAAATCTGCCTCCCAAAGCAACTGCTGGGTCTACAGAAGCAAGAGAAGCCCCAAAAGGTAAGAAAATTAATTGTCCTTAATTTATGTCATCACCCAATATTATGAACTATGCAATTGTACTGCATCTACAGAAGATAGCTTACTGTCATTTGACTTTAAAGGCAATTTTTGACATCTGGCAAATAATTCTTAGAAACAGAACTGTTTATATTGCAGAAAGTAAATATTATAAAGGAATCTAATTGATGCACATATTATCTTAAGTAATCCAATAAATATATTCTTACCAAAATTTCAACACATTGAACATCCTTGTAATAGAATGGAACAAGTCTGTACTACTCTTCTAAAAACAAGTCAATCCATTTTTTGTTGGACAAGTGAAAATATGAAAACAAGTGACATGATCTTTCACTTAATGAATGTGCAAAAAAGGTTGTAGAATTGGCTGCATTCATATGATACCTCATTTAATAACTGCACTACTTAACAACAAATTTTATAATCCCAACTATGGTTGTAAACTGAGAACAACTTTACTTAATATAGTGTTGGAGGAATCCAAATAAAACATAGAATTTTATTCTTAGTTTTTTTCCATGAGGCTTTAACTCCAAGGAAGGCTGTGGGTTGTTAAAGAGATGATTGTAGAAAGAAAGCCAGAATATTCATACTTACTCCTCACCCACCTTGTATGATATTCTTTAACATGAACTTTTCAACATTACCTTTGCCTCTGGATTTTTTTAAAGGAAAAAAATCTTTTTCATTAAATAACCAAAATAAAATGCAGGAGTAAATGTTTAGGACAGCATTCATTTAAACTCTTTCTGTGTCTACTCCTGAAAGTTTCTGAATTAAACAAAACAAATTTTCATCAGTACCAGATGTTGTTTTCTTGAAGATGATTATGTTTATCTGTTTTCCAGAAAGTCATAGTAATGGAGGGGTAATATTTGGAACAATTGTAGGAGTAATGTTAGGATCTGCACTGATTGGCCTGGTTGGATATTTAATCTGTGGTAAAAGAAAATCTGAATCGTTTGGACATCAGCGACTTTATGATGACACAAGAAATGATCCAGGTAATAATCTATTTCAAGAAATGGAGTCATTAAAGGTCAAATGGATTTTGTTGTTTGAAAGCAAGTTTTTGAGATGTGTCATTTTAAAGGATACATTTTAGAAAGAGGAGGAAAGGAAGCTATGCAATATATACATTTTGAATTCCTCTTCCTCTTTATGCCAGCTAAGACCATTTTTGCTTTAGGGTTCATCACTACTTCCGGGTGGTTCTATTGCCAGAATGTGATAGCAATACATTTAGATGCCAGTTGTTACTTCTCTCACACTGCAAATTCAATCTTTTACCTGTGCTTTGAAAACAGTCTTTTCATTCTCATTTCACCTTGAATACTCTTGTCCATTTGGATAGGGCCTTTAGCGATGGATTGCTTTTCAAAAGTTTTCTTCATAAAGAACTTCAGCCTGTGCTAGTATGAGGTGGATTGCCTTGCAGAGCAATTTTATTGGGGTACTAGAGGGAGTAAGATAACTGGCACTCTCTGGGTGATAGACATGGTGATAGACATAGAGCAGGGGTGTCACGTGCTGGCCACACCCACCCCAGCTCTGCAAAGGCAAAAAAGTCGCAATATATCATGATACATCATGTGACATGATCGAATTTGACACCCGTGACATAGAGGAAGGGGTGATGATGTTATTTAATTTAGTAATGAAACATCTACAAGAAAACAACCAAGCTCCTATCCAATTGTGAGGTGCTTGCTGATGGGAATCCTATTGAGACAGATGAGGATGTGTTGATGGGAGAAAGTTTCAATGGTTAGACTCCTTATAGACACTGAGGGAAGCTCCTGAGTTGTGTCTAGAAGCAGCTATCAGGGATTTCCTGTGGGCTAGATGGTGGTAGTATAGGTGGGGGCAGGTAGGTTGAACCTGGAAGGTTGGAGTTGATGGGATTGAGGGCAGGTAGGAATATCAAGGTTGAGATGGACAGAGGGAAATATAGTATGAGAAAGAGATCAGGTTATTTTTGGAGAAGGCTGATTTGAAATATCATACCAATTCAGCTTTCTAGTCACTTGAACTCATCCCAAATGCCAGGTCATTGGATTGAAGGCCTTGGTTTCTGACTGCTGCTGTGAAATGACAGGAGTGCCTGCATTAAGGCTTTTCTCCACAGTTTTATCATGAGTGAGAGGGCAGACCTGCTACTTTCCAAACTTCCTACTTCTTCCTATGCTTAGTTTTTTAAGTGGGTGCACTACCACATTTTTTTTTGCAATTAAGAAATGGGCAGCTATCTGAGTGAATTAATGAATGAATATAAAATTCCAAGTCACCTGAGACAGAAGCATTTCCTAAAAGATATTCCATACATGGGGATATCCACATAATTGCATGCATATATTGAACTTATTGTTGTAGGCAGAACTCGGCTTAAAAGAACTCACATGTCTTTAACATTCTGTCCAAAAATGTATTATTTAACACATGTGTAAATATTGTCAATGTATATCTTGCAGTTCTGCGACTAGATGCTACACCCGAACCTTTCAATCCAAACTTTGGCGATCTATCCTACTACAATCCAATGGCAGCCAATGAGAACCATGTCCAGAACCACAAAGAAACATCATACAATGCAATTCCAATGGATGACATGACATCATCACAGCCTTCAGCAGAAATGCATAAAGCCAGATCTTAAAAGTTATATATATATATGTAATATATATATAACTTTAAAAGTTATATATATATGTAAGTTAAAAGTTAAAAGTTATATATATATATATATATATATATATATATAAGTAATGATTGCAGGTCATGTCATATTCTTTTTACCACTCCTTTGCATAAGGGAATGCATGTATATATGCTATCCCATTAGAACAGGGGTGTCAAACTCGCAACGTCACATGACGTGTTGTGACATATCACAACTTTTTTGCCATTGCCGGCAATGGGGTGGACGTGGTTTCATTATGATGCAACTAACCCGCGGGCTGGCAGTTTGACACCCCTGCATTAGAAGAAATGCTGGCAGACTCATAAGTATGGGTAGACTTCTAAGAATATTGGGTCCTTAATCTGAAGCACCCTTTCTTCGTTCTTTGATTGGTAATAGTTTATTGACGGACATTTGGTGCTTCTGCTGTTACTTACCAGGTGATAATTATACATATGTGAATCAGTTATAAATGCAAGTTCTGGTCTATTTGTATTATTTTAGATATCCATGCTATGAATTAAACAAAAAACAAGCCAAACTACTTATATAAAAATGTTTGCATAATTTTTTTTAAAACTCAAATAGTTTTAAAGAAGTTATTTATCATGACTGAAAAATAGAAGATCATTTACAATCGTGCTTCAGATTGAGAAATGCTGAACTTTTTTACTTGATAATATCCCCAAAATATGTGCTAACATCTACTGAAAACATGACATTGGACAAATGGGACTTTTTTTTCTGTTTTAAAGAAGAGCAATATTTTAATATTTCAGCTCTAAATTAAAGTACCACAACATTAGTGATAATATACATTCTCATAAATCCCCTTCATCCTTCCAAATACTAATTCTAATTACATTCAGAGTTGAGCAATTTTTTTCTCAAGGAGCTGCTTGTTTAATACTGATCAGGTAAACTATCTTAATGCTTAAATTCAGTGACAAAAATGATAAGTTTTTGGCAACGTTGTTTTCCCTCAGTTTTTAAAAAGTTTTCTTTTTTGCTCATAAACCATTATCAAGTCTCTGGAGTGTTCTCTTTTTGTACTTTGCTCCAACTGGAAAAAAAATAAGCTTACAATTTCATCTCTGCTCATTCTAAAAATTTCTAGCGTCATCACCAGATCACCCTCCAGCTTTTTGGGAAGAAGATCTGAGAAAAAAGGAATGTGGAGAAAAGCTGCCCTTCCCGGATTTAAGAGGGTAATTTTGTTATAACGGGGTTTTGTGTTTTTTTTTTTTTACTGTTGCAGAGCACCCTAATTTTCTTTTATTATACCTAATAAATAAATTACCTAATCATTTAATTATTATTGGTAGGTCAGTTTAGAATCAATAGTGACATTCACCAAAGTGATGTCTCCTAGATATGCTGGAATTATAACTGAATGGGCACTAGAATGGGCAGAGATGAAATTGTAAGCTTATTTTTTTTCCAGTTGGAGCAAAGTACAGAAAGAGAACACTCCAGAGACTTGATTATGGTTTATGAGCAAAAATAAACTTTGCTAGGTTGGTTCTCTCCTTAGTTTCCACCTGTTGCTTCTTGTCCTGCCTTCAGGTGCTTTGGTGAATAGGTTGACCCACTCTTCTTTGTGGCAACCCCTGAGATATTGGAACACTGTTACCATGTCACTGAACATACCCAATACTTGCAACTGTTCTACATCTCTTTTAGCCTCCAGTCCACTAATCGTCTTTCTTGTTCTTCTCTGCACTCTTCTAGAGTCTCAACATCGTTTTTATATTGTGGTGACCAAAACTGAATGTAATATTCCAAGTGTGGACTTACTAAGGCATTATAAAGTGATACTTCACATGATATTGATCCTACCCCTCTGTTAATGCAATCTAGTTGTTATAATGCAGCCTAAGTTGTTATAAACCATATGCTTACTTAATTCTGTAGAAGAATAATCAACTTCAAGGCTTTTAATTGTTTTTTGTAGATAAACTAAGTCTCAAAGGGAAGCCAGGCTAATGTAGCTGAGTTGTATTTCAGTAGAATAAATTTGCTTCTCTTGGGCCTTTAGAGCAATGTTCACAAATACAACACATGTACTGTTGCATCATGCATCAGGATGGAAGCATGTAAGGATATGTATCATATGTCACTGTGGTTTTGCCTTTTAGTGGCTTGCCCTGGATTCTGTCATTATGTACTATTGCCTAAAGCTCTGGTTTTGCTGTTCAAAACATTTGCACTTAAATACAGCCAACAGTTTTTGCTGGGCACAAGCTGTACTGCTGGTCTATTTTCAGTCACATTTTAGCACATATTATATCAGGATCATTTTAAATTGTTTGGGACAGCATTTGCTGGACAAAGCTAATTTTGTCAAAAAAGGTTGCACTTAAACATCTTCAAAAAAAAAAAGCATATACTCAAAGAGGTATCAAAATGCTTTAAAAACTACTGTCTTTCCAGTATCTTAAAATGGTGTGTCTATTTGCTTTCTTGTCCTATTGTTTCACCATCGTTTTAGAGCTTCCATGTTTTTAGATCATAAGCCAAACTAATAAAAGGACTACATAGAAAATGTAATGAGAGCAAGCTGCCGTTTTTTTTAAAAATTATTTCTTCCTGAATTGATCTTACCTAAAAGGGAAGAAAAGAAGAATTGTATTCCAAGTTACCAAAGCAAGATTATTTATGCTTCTTATTTTCCCACACTGCACTAATATTTTCAGCTTTGCTTTTGTCAAGAATCAATCTTGGTTCATATCATCATGAAAGGGGGTGTGAATGCTGGAGAATTGGAGGTAAGGAGGAAAGATACTTGTTCAGATGCAGATGCTAATGGTAATAGGTTCCATTTACCCTGCGTTAGTTACTCTAGGTTAAAACAACATCATTATGTTCTGCTATTTCTAGTCTCCAATGGGGTAAAATGTATTAGAGTTGATACTATAGCAATTGGCAATTCATTCTTTGTTTCCATAACAGTTCACATGTTTCAATTCCATCAAAATTATATTTGTAATTTAAAATTGTATGTAAATAATTATTTTAAACAGAAAATATTTTTTATTTAGAAAGGCCAGTTGTCTAGCGTTAAGGTAGTCAACCATCAGACCCCAAATCCTTAGGAATTAGGAAAGTCCATCCTTAGGAATGGAAGATAGTTGGGTGAGATTGGGCCAGTCACTCTCTCCCAGCCCAATTTATCTCACATAGTGGTTGTTGTGGGGAAAATAAGAGTTGGGAAGATTATATACCCTATCTTGAATTGTACAAAATAAATCTGGTTTAGAAATCAAATCAAGAAAAAAAAATACATAAATTTAAAGTCAGATAACTAAAAACAAGCATATTGCTTGCATTTACACTAGTTTCTAGACTTGAAAAATTAGATAAATTCTATTAGTTGTATAAAATTGAAACAAAGCAGGGGAATTTACGTAAATACATACCACAATAGCAATAATAGCAATAATACTTAAATAGAAGTAGATCTGTAAGAACAGCCATCTTTTTAACTCTTGCAGAACATGTAATTTGGATCAAAAGGTCTCCAACTGTTTTGGGGAAACATATTTATTTCTATACCACAAGAAACAGCACAGAAACCGCTCCAAATGACGGCTCCTTATGACTGTCAAGAAGATTATATTGTTGTTCATTTTCATACAAGCACATTAGTAGTCTCTAGCATGAAATGGATAACATGCTTTATTAGATAAAATGAGCTATGTGCTTAGGCTGGAGAGCTTAACCTGTTCACCTGGTTAGATTGTTTAATCTATTTTGCAAGGTTGGAGTGAAGATGAATTGGATAACCTCATGTTTTCTAAGGGCCTTTTGATGGAAGGACAAAATACAAATATTTATTTACTGTATTGTGATTGTCTTTCTGGCCAAAATGAAGCTAAAGTACACAACTATAATTAAACCTAATTCAAAACAAACACATACATACACACCCAATATCAATTAAAGTTCCTTGATTTTAGAAACCATGAAAGGTCAAACTCCTGCCTGAATAATTGGGCTTTCAAGTAGAACAACAGCCTGGAAGTGGAATTAGCTCAACCTCTTTGGTAAATAATTACAAAAGCTGGGAATAGCCACCGAGAAACCTTCCCTCTATGTTCACCAATTGTGCCTGTGATAAAATGGGAAGGAGAAAAGATGCTCTTCTGTAAGCTCTAAAGCCAAAGGAGGTTCAGACAGAAAAATGGTTCTTCAGATGTGAAAAATAAATCCATTGTCTACTAAGCATGTCACATAGTAAAAAAAAAAAAAAAAAAAAGCGTCTGGTATCTTGTGACTCAATTTTCTTTTATTTTTCCTATACTGAGATACCATTTTTTAAAGCACTTTGGGTAAGAGAGGAAGATTTGTGGAAGTTGCATGAAAGAAATCAGAAAAGAATAGACAAATTTATTATTCCCTCAAGCCTCATTCAGTTAGTTATTTTAGTTTCCACAGATTTTTCAAGACAGGGCAGAAAATCCGGAAGGGACAGCTTGATTGCCTCTTCTCTGTACAAGTTTGGTTTATTACCTGGACAGTGGTTGTTTTATTCTTGTTCTCTGTTTACTACATGCATATGGAGCATGTCAGGTGATAGCAAGACTCTGTGTGTGTACACACATGCACATATATGTATATATAGAAACATATATACATATACATAACATATACATACACATACACATACACATACATATACATAACATATACACATACACATACACATACACATACACATACACATACACATACACATACACATACACATACATATACATATACATATACATACACATACACATACACATACATACACATACATACATACATACATACATATATATAAGTGGGACATACATATGTGGGACAGTTGGGAAGACCTAAACACATAAGAGGGTGATGCACATTAAAAAATGGGAATAGTTTTAATGATATTGTTGTGGCCACTATTCTGAATATTTTTGACCATATCCTGTGGACACCCATAGTTAGAGATGCCAAGAATCAGAGATAGGAAGAAAAGTAAAGATAAAGGAAGAGCACGCAGGCTAAATGCAAGATAGAGATAAGAACTCAAAAAAGTAGAGATTTTAACCCAGTTTTGTAGGCTCTTATAGATGATTGTCCTTGTAAGGATTTACTTGTGAAACTATTGGCTGCTGGATGCTTATTTTAAATGTTTTAACTGAAGTCCCCAATCCTGAAGAAAGGCGTCAATGTAATTTCACTTGCTTGGTTCCTTTTGCTATATATATATAGTCTTGGTAAACCATTGCCCTGTTTAATGATTGTCTGAAATTATGACAGTGCTGAAAAAAAAAGATTTTACAACCAGTCCTCAAACTTATGTCCATCGCGGGTCCTCTGTGGTCACGTAATTGTGATTTGGGCACTTTGCATTCAGTGTGTATTTATGGCTGTTGCAGCATCCTGAGGTCATGACATGACGCGATTGCCATTTGCAAGCTTCACAAAAATAAAGTCAATGGAGAAGCCGACAGTGAAATCGCTTATCATGGTCATGTGATGTTTCACTTAACAACCATTGATGATTCAATTGGCAACCTCAGTGGAACTGACATTGTAAGTCCTTTGTGGTTATGTGATGTTTTGCTTAATGACAATATCACTTAACAATGGTGATAATTGTGGTTGTTAGTGAAGACTATTTGTATCACATAACCTATCTCTCTTGCACCTTTAAAAGTGTCCTTCTCATTTCAAAAAAGATTCCAATGCAATATCAGTAAAAGTTCACCATTTCAACTTTCCATAGTTACAATTGCCCCCCTTTTCCCCAAAACACACAAAGGAACCTTTCTGAAGTTTTTTTTTTAATTTTGCTTTTAGTCACCTATTCACTTTTCATATGGTTTATATGCTCATCATCCACCAGTGTCAGTAGTCAGAAAGAACCATCAGGGACTGACTTCATCTTTTGATACAGAAATTTTCTCATATAGAATATAGACATTTTTCTAAATGCAAATTACCTGACATTGGTGCTTTTTTTAAAAAAGTTACTGTTATTTGAATCAAATATCAGTAGCATATTTTGTTTTACACATGCATTTTTTGCAGATTTTTTTCTTAGAGGAAACAGTGCTACTCATTGTGCTGCTGCAAAATTCATTAACATTGAATATGCAAATTTTCTTCAAATAATATATATGGCAGAATTTCCTTTACATTTTACACTCCTTCATCCCTAACTGTAGAAAATAGATTTTAGACATGTAAAGTAAATGTATCCTATGCAGACCTATGTACCAAATGCCTGCCAATAGTTTTAAAATATAATTTTCCATATTACATTTTACTTCAACTATCAAGTCCACTGACTATAGTGTTTTCTGTTATTTGTACATTATTATTAAACAATAACTTACCCCATATAGCCATAAAAATGGCAAAGAAGACAGTTCCTCCATTATCAAATAAGTATGTAACCTTAGGAGGAAAAAAATAAAGGAAGTTATGCAAATTATTAATGAAACTACTCAAAATGTTAAGAAAGCCCCAAAAGGTGAAAGTTGTAACAAATTATTGAACTCTAGCCCCAGATATACAAACATGGTTCAACTTCTTTGAATTTAAAGAACATTTTTCCTTCTCTGCAGAAGCCATTTTGAAGATATACAGTACACAGTACACAGAAACTGTTACACAGAACACCGAACTAAGTAATTTGTTCTGGGGCAACAGAATTATGAAGCAAAATTATAGAGCTTTGTGGGGAAAAAAATAGGGGCATGAATTTCAAACATCAAGAAAATGACAATTGAAATTAATTTTAAAGAAGCAGTTCCCCATTTCGGATCATATATGTTTGCTCCTTGATATGTATGCCTTGCCCTCCTTCACACATAGACTAATTCAATCTAACAGTAAAATAGGAACAATTACAGCAGCCTAACCACATTTCAATTATTATAAATTAGTTCCCTCAGAAAAGACTGGCTGCAAAGGAAGGTCTTGATTCTTTTCCAGAAAACAGAGAGAATGGGACAAAGCACAGCTCTCAAGGGAGTAAATTGTAGCTTCCAAGCAATAAATAAAAACAACTAAATGCATAAAAGACCTTCTTCATATGCCAACTAATCAACTTTGAAAAAGAAAGGCATATTTTACAGAACCTCTCCAGCTGTTTGTGTGGTTACAGTTATTACAGAGAGACAGTGTGATATTCTGGTTGTATAAGTATTGCACTAGAAATGGACAGTACTAATTTCTGGTCCACTGAGTGAACTTGGTCCAGTCACTCTCTTGGCCCAGCCTATCTCACAGGATTGAGGTATTCCATGCTTAACAGATATACAGGTAGTACTTGCTTAACAGTGGTTTTCGGGACTGGCAACCCTTATCGCTAAATGATGCTGTTGCAAAGTGTGGCCTCATGTGACTGTGCCAACCTACGACAACAGTTGTGGCCTCACAGTCATTAAGCACAATATTGCATGATTACTATTTACAACTTCCTATTGATTTTCTTATTGACTGCTTGTCAGAAGATGGCACAGAAGATCATGCATGGTGATGATGTGACTGCAGGATGTTGCAGCCATCGTAATTGTGTGCCAAGCATACCAAATTGCAATGTGATAGCAGGAATGCAGCAAGCGCTGGTTGTAAATGTCCTTATTCAACACCATAACTTTGAATGGTGACTGACTGAGTGGATGTTAAGTGAGGATTATCACAGTAAATTTATGATAAATAGGAAATGCTATTACTGTAGGCTGCTCTGAGCAATAGTTACAGAACATTAGCACTATAAAAATAAAACACATTATACTTCAAAAAACTATCTGCACTATCACATTATTCATTTTAGGCCAATTACAAAAAAATGTCAGAATCTAAAAGAAACCATTCTGTAAACAGGATTCCATAGCCTATCACTCAGCTTCCTTAGCAGGAATTACATAACAACGGATTTTTGATTGTCAGCATGGCAATTAATTAAACCATTGTTCCTTTCTGGTCTCACAAGACTGAATCACTCTTATATTCTTAATGACATGGGGATGGTCTCTTAGAAGGTGCAAATGGAATGCACCATTTAAATAAGAGTGCACTTTAGTGATAAAGCACATACATGTTTTCTGACTGTTTTCAGATTTGATTGGTACTATATACGGTAGGATTGCATCTTAAAGCTTATGTATCTATACAGACACCGTATCTACTGAGATTTTGAATCTGATCAGTACAAAAGATGGAGACCTGCTCTGATTCTGCTTTATCACAAATGTGTGCACCTCTGCTCTTTGAAATTGCTTCCTTGAAGCAAGGGAGAAACCTCTTGATATCACACATCTCTTTTTCCTGAAGATCTGATTGCCTACATTCTTGTCCGCAGGCTCTTGGCTTTGCCCTAGTTTTAGTGAGATCACGAACTGATTTATAGTTATGTAATTAGTTTCTCATAAGCTTCAACTGCTTGGCTTGAGTCATAAACCAGAGGCTCGCTTTGCTTTCAATTTAAGAACGATATTAATTCAATTGGGTCCAGTCTAATTGGGACAGGGTGTGTGAAACTAAATAAAGCAGATACAGTGGTTTTGAATCCAAATAATGCAAGGCCATCTACACCTTGCCCCTATGTGTCTCCACGCCAATGTTTGCTTTCCACAAATAGAAATGAGGTTTCTAGGTCAGGTAACCACTCCCTCCTTGGGTATTAGAATATCAATTTAATTTGTTTGTATTGTGAGTTCCATAATACGTCAATGATGACTGCAAAATGATTATCTGGTTTTGGTTGCTTTATAGGACTCTAGAGCTTGCATGCAAAGATTTGATAAAAATACACATGTCTTGATTTTCAAAAGGAAGTAATAAGTAATAAAAAGATTTCTGCAAACTGATGAAGCAATCAAGATTTGTTTTACAGTTAGGATAAGTAACTGACAGCAGAAATATCACATGATTTTGCAACCATCTAATCAAGAGCTACAATATGTATGAACTATTTATTATCCAAAGCCGGATTGTCTACAAATACCTTACTAGGTGTCTGAAAACTAAATTTAGATTTGTAAGCATTGCCTCCACCACCTTCGCTAATGTTTCACATGTATATTATTTTTTTCACAGTATGCATTTTATACTTCGAAGTTCTTTTGTCTCACAGAGTAGCAAGTAAGCAGGCTCTTTTTAGGATTGACATTTGCCTTTCCCAACTCCGTCAAGAATCTAGCAAACATCATGTTATTAACAGGTAGCCCTCGACTTACGACCACAATTGAGCCCAAAATTTCTGTTGGTAAGCAAGACAGCTGTTAAGTGAGATTTGCCGCATTTTACAACCTTTCTTCTTGCCACAGATGTTAAGTGAATCACTGCATTCGTTAAGTTGTAACATGATTGTTAAGTGAATCTGGCTTCTCCATTGACTTTGCTTGTCAAAAGGTCACAAAAGGTGATCACATGATCCCGGAACACTGCAACCATCATAAATATGAGTCAGTTGCCAAGTATATGAATTTTGATCATGTGATCATGGGGATGCTGCAACAGTCTTAAGGGTGGAAAGAAGTCATAAGTCACTTTTTTCAGTGTTGTTCTAACTTCGAACGGTCGCTAAATGAACTGTTATAAGATGAGGACTACCTGTAATGTTGTTATGAATGAAGGCAAATATACGTGTCCCAGGATAATGTTTTAAAATCCAATCTGGGTCGGTCACCGGGACCAGAGGTTTAGTCTTCCAAGTTTTTGGACGCGTGCTGGAGCCCGTCCTCGGGAAACTTCTCTCTCCCTCGCTTTATGAACTAGGAAGGGGATATAGTCTGATAAATATGACACACAGAATAGCCCAAAGCGCACATTCTGGAGAGAGAGAAGTTCCCTGGGGATGGGCTCCAGCACAAGTCCAAAAGCTTGGAAGTCTAAACCTCTGGTCCTGGTGACCAACCCAGATTGTTCTTACCTTTAGATTCTATCACAATCATTTTATTGTCAACCAACACCATGATTCTTGTGAGATAGGGAACACATTATCGACTGCTCTTTAAAGATCAGTGCGATTTTGGATAGTAGGAGGAAAATATAACGTGAATAGTTTTCAGTGGAAGCTGGGGAGGGGAGTGAATGGCTTTAAGAGAGAGGAGGAAGAGGCACTATCAAGGTGATGGTCAGATAAGAGGGGTTTGAGCTTGGGACAAAAAAACATCTCAGACTAGCCCCTTCCTAGTTAGAACATGGAATAACAGAATTGGAAGGGACTTTGGAGCTCATCTAGATCAACTTCCCTGCAGAAGCAGGAGAGTCTATACCATTTCAGACAAGTGGATGCCCAGTCTCTTCTAGAAAGTTTCCAGTGATGGGGCACCCACAACTTCACTCTATGAACCCACAAGTTCATAGAGTGAGGTTGAGAGAAGCACATTCAGACTTGCATGATTCCATTGTTACAATAAAACTAGTCCCGATCTACATGGCATTGGTCACTTACTCTAGCCCACCTTGCTGGGCTCACAGGAGCCCTCTGGGAAACAAAAAACAATGATCATGGAAAGCCAGTTACCTTTGCATAGATGCAGCTTTCATTGAGTTTTTGCAGTGTGCAGCTCTTCTCGCACATGGGGCACATGATGGTCTCATTTGCTTCACAGATCTCTTTGCTACAGCAGGGATACAAGAAAACAAACGGTTATCCAACCAGATGCAAGTTATATGGACCCTGATGAGTGTATTTGGCAGAGCACTTGGCTTGTAGTGTTTAAGGCAACATGTTTTTAGCTCTCAGTTTGGACTGGAATAAAATTTGCCGTAGACACAAAATAGTACATAGGATTTAATCGTGATGAAAATAACATTAGCTTTTTTGCTGTCAACAAATAGTTTCAGATTCTTCGTAAAAGCTCTCATGGAAAGAGAGGGATCCCAAGAGAGAAATATAGGGATTCCAAATTATTTTATAGAACTCTGCAGTTTGCATTGCCTAAAAAGTAGAATTAAGCAAAAATCTCAACACTACCCTTGGTGATAAGAAAGTAGATAATAAACATGTTTGAGTCATTCATTGATCTTATTTTTCAATCCAAGATCAAACATTTCCAGAGCTCTCAGTCCTCTTTATTGGTTAATTAAAGCCATTAAGTGAATAAATAGGGACTAAGATGTCATGTCCTACTTTTAACCAAGAAATCATCTGGCTAGTTCTTTATGCATTTATAGGGATATAAAAGAATTTTCCCACAGTTCCAGATGAAGATTAAATCCAGCTGTAAATTAGTCTTCTGTGAATGGGGATTAGACACTTTTGCAACTTTTATAAATGGCTACATCTTTTGGTCTTGTCTTTCTTTTCAACATGAAAATCTTTCTCTCTCTCTAGAGACAGACTAATTCTCCTTTGCTACACTTCCTAGCCACTATAGGATATCAAAGAGACACAGGTATAAACAGTTCCATTTGCCAAAGAGAGAATTCTTTCTAGCTTGCTATACTGCAGAAATATAAAAAAGACAAAACTTGATTTCATTATAAACAAGGCTTGCATTTAATGCATAGCAATCAGTGGCATTCTTTCTTGCATAGTAATTCCATTAGCCTTTTTGAAATTTGACTATTTATCAGACCTTTTGAATCTTTGAAAGTCTATTCTTGCAGCTTTCTGCCCAGTTGGTTGAGGCACAGATCATAGCTCTGCAGAGGACTCTTTGCTGCTGTGATATGGTGGGAAAGCATTTTTGCTGGTAAATTAAGGAAAGCAAGAACCCCTGGCAGTTAAAACATTTTGAAAATCAAGTTTATTATTAAAAATCTGACATAAAACTTTTGGAGAAGAAAGCTGTCCTGTACATTATGCCTTAAAACAGATAGGTTTGCTATCAATCCACCCATCCCTATCAATCAAATGGGATCTAACTATGATTCATTCTTGTGTGTTGAAGAGAAGCTTACACATGTAGTTTCTGTCAGATTTTTTGTATTCTTAGTATCCAAAATGAGTTTAAAAATTCACCATAAAATCATATTTTCCATATTAGGAAAAAAACATATTTCCAGCCTGGAAATTGGTTTAACTGCTGCAAGTTTTGGACTGCATGAGTGTCTTAGTGGTGATTTTTGTTTCAACAAATTACCTTTTTGATATATTTGTTTAATTATTTGTTTTTTTATGCTTCCATAGGTAAAAATAGGTAAAATAATGCCTGGCTTTTAATATGGAATAAACACCTGGCCATGTTTATTTTACACAAGAATGCTTACCACTTCAACTGCTAAATTTATCCATTTGGCTGGTTTGAAATCTCAAATCAGCATGCATAATGTGAGAATGTATAGCTAGGATATATGTCTACATAATTCCATTTATGTTGAGATCAAGTAATTATGTTTTGCTGTGAATAACAATAACATCTGAATTATCTACTCATCGTTCCTTCTAAAAGCCAGCTGCATTGTTCAGGTATTTTTTTTAAAATGTCAAACTCATCAGAAACCACTAGATGGAAGACTTGCTTTAACTACATGGTATACTCTTACATAACTTTAAGAAATTACATATTGCTGTAAAAATCATATGTACAATACACATAGATTCACTCAATATAGGAACTTTCAGAGCAAGCAAAGTTGCATCTGCTGTAAAAGAAAAGTCCCCTTTTCAAGTTTGTGTGAAAGTCCTGTCTTTTGCAGAGGGAGCTGTGCTTTAGTGCCCTCTTTACATGGTGGAATTAGCTAGTGGTGCACAATGTTGCATCAAAGAGATGAAGCCATAATCTAACAGTACACTCGGTCTGCTCAGTACCCTGCTATGACCAATGGTGCCTTCAGAAACTTGTAATATTATCATCAGATGACATTCTATGAACTATGGTTAATTATGAACTTTTGGGGGGAATGCTGTTATGCTCATAATTGTCATTCTATTCTGAGACTACTTATTTAAACAACTTATGAGGCTGCCCATCTTGCTGTGGCAAATCTGGGCAGCTAGCAACAAGAGTCCAAATACATTAAAAAGAGCTGCGATAACAATCAACTTCCAATCAGCCCTTTTACCTTGCAGGCAGAAAGCAAATAGTAAACAGGTTTTCCTTACCACCCAACTCTTGCACTTGAGGGAAAAGCCAGCCCTTTAAAACCTTATTAGATGGCGTAGGGCATATGCCATGGCAGAGAAGGCATTTCTCCTGAATCCTGCCAGATCATGCTGCTTACTAAGAAAGAACCTGGAGTATGTGTATCTTGGTGGATGGGGGGGGGGGTAGTTGGGAAAAATTGTAGAAAAATGAATTGGCTCTGTGCTATGTAAAGCTTTGGAGGTGACAGTGAACACTCTGAATGGTCTTAGAAGTTTTTCAGGAGGGAATGCAGCTCATGGAACATTAGTGTTCTATGTTCATACCTTAATACAGGGGTAGTCAACCTTGGCTCTTTTATGATTCGTGGACTTCAATTCCCAGAATTCCTGAGCCAGCTTAGCTGGCTCAGGAATTCTGGGAGTTGAAGTCCACGAGTCATAAAAGAGCCAAGGTTGACTACCCCTGCCTTAATATTTTCAAGGTTGACCATACTGTCATATTCTGGAACAGTTACAACTTCTGAATGCTATTCAGGAGCAGACCCAAGTAGAACACATTCTAATAATTAAAATGGGAGGTAACTAAAGCATAAATGACCGTGAATTGGTCCTCATCCAAAAATGAGTGCAATTGTTGCACAAGAAGCGTTGGTGCAAAAGTTCTATTCATAGATGTCACATGCTCCTCAAGCAGGAGCTATGAGTCCAGAAGACACCCCCCATCCCTCCCCAAACTGCACACCAACTCTACCTGGAGGAGTACAAGCCTATTAAGAATTAAAGATGAAAAATATCCAGACTTGGGAGGCTTTAAAATTGATTGTCATGTGGTTTTGCCAGGATCGTATAGGGGAGTGGGAAGAATAACATTGATGAAGGAATACAAGAATAGTTAAGAGACTGTACATGACGATGGGAAACTGGAAAGCATGAAAAGAAATTCAAAACAACATGCCTTGATTCTATTTGGTATAAGAGTAGGCAGAGAGATACTCTGATAGACTGTGTTTAAATATGGTACATTTCTGATATCCTTGCTCAGTCTGTTTCCTGACCTGGCCTACTTTGAAGGGCTGACAGATAAGCTGAAATGTGCTCCTCTCCCATCCAGATCCTTACAGCCTCCAAATAACAATCAGCTACCTTTGGAGCAGTAACTTGGTAGCTATCAGAATTTCTGAAATTCCCTGCCTTGCCTGAAGTCACAGTTGGTACCTCAGGTGAACCTCACCTGGGCATATCTCCAAAAAGGTACATCTTCCCCATTCATTCAGCCACATTTCAATAATGCATACAAGGCTAGCTCTCTTATCCACAATTAAATTGTGGTTAATAAATAGTTTTATTATAGACTAACCAAGCATTAAGTAAGAATAGCCATAAACCAGGAGCACTGGAGTTTAGATGACAAGTCATTGGGACAAGCAGAATTGGAACGAATTATTGGAAAGTCACCTTCCTAACAAATGGCCTATCCTCTGTCTTTTGTGATCTCTCTTTCTTCCTGTTGCTACCATGGTATCGTGGCATGCTTAGTTCTCTAGACCACATCAACCTCCCTTGATCCAGCTATTCTTCCCCCAAGTCAAAGAGCCTCATCCTACCACCAGAGAACAATTACTCTGCTGGCTTTAACTTCAGGGATATTTCTGCAACTTGCAAGCATCCCCTAATCTGGAGCACTATCTTACATTTCCCCCCTCACCCAACAACATGCCACCTGCACCATGCATCACATAACGACGACGACGACAACAACAACAACAATAAAGTTGAAAGTGACCTTGGAGGTCATCTAGTCCAACCCCCTGCTCAGGCAGGAAACCCTATACCATGTCAGACAAATGGTTGTTCAGTCTCTTCTTAATAAGTTCCAATTTTTGGAGCATTCACAGCTTCTGGAGGCAGGTTGTTCCATTGGTTAATTGTTCTAATTGACAGGAAGTTTCTCCTTAGTTCTAGGTTGCTTCTCTCCTTGATTAGTTTCCATCCATTGCTTCTTGTCCTGCCTTCAGGTGCTTTGGAGAATAGCTTGACTCCCTCTTCTTTGTGGCAACCCCTAAGATATTGGAACACTGCTATCATGTCACCCCTAGTCCTTCTCTTCCTTAAACTAGACACTCCCAATTCCAGCAACCGCTCCTTATCACCCCCAGATTCCCTACTCTTATCTGAGTAGCAACCAACTGCACTCCTATAAAACTAGAGTAAACTAGGACACATATTATCTCATTCCTAATCAAAATGAACAAATATCATAGTAAACTCTAGCCCACCAACAGACAATTCAGTCAATAGGTAGAAGAAGTGTAAAGGCAATGCATTCTGCTTATGGACTTTGCAATTATTTAGTTGAGTAGTTGCAGAATACAACTTTAATATATTCTGAATATTAACTTCCTATTTATGACATAGTTCTTCACATGATCAAACCCCTTTTATAAAACATTTGTTTGTTGATTTTTATATAAAGCAGAGAAATCTGTTAAAGTGAATTTTATTTTTTCTGCATACAAAACATATTTGAACTGCAAATTATTATTGAACAGAAAAATATCAGAGAGAGAGAGAGAGAGAGAGAGACTATGGATCTGAAATAGATAAGTATTGTTTAAGACACACAACCTACAATTTAATTTAGACTGAACATACAACATTGATAAGTTCCAGTTCTACAAAGAGTAGTAACCTTTTTCCATGATTAACTGGCGGGAACTCTCTTGAGTTCGTTACATTCAATCACACAGATCCTGGTTTCCAAATGAATGAATGAATGAATGAATGAATGAATGAATGAACCTGCACAAATCCACAAAGTGGAAATTATTATTTTAGTTACTAGTGAATTACAGGTAGTCCTCGACTTATGATCACAATTGAGTCCAATTAAGTGAGACATTTGATAAGTGCACTTTGCCCCATTTTTACGACCTTTCTTGCGACAGCTAAGTAAATCACAGCAGTGTTAAGTTAGTAACAAGGTTGTTAAATGAATTTGGCTTCCCCATTGACTAGTCAGTAAGTCACAAAAGGTGATCACATGACCCCGGGACACTGCAACGGTCATAAATATGAGTCAGTTTGCCAAGCATCTGAATTTTTATCACATAACGATGGGGATGCTGCAACGGTCATGAGTGTGAAAAACAGTCATAAGTCACTTTTTTCAAGGCTGTTGTAACTTTAAACAATCATTAAATGAACTGCTGTTAGTGGAGGACGACCTGCATTTCTGCAGAGATGGCCCTAAGATGCTGAGGCCAGACTCAGCTGCTTTATAAAGTTGCAGAACAGGTGGTATATGTTAATAATAAATAAATAAATAAATAAATAAATAAATAAAGTCATACAAATCTGGTAAGAAATAAATAAATATTTAAGCAGCAGAGCAGCTTTTGGGAGCAGAATCCAAAGTGCTCCACAGCCCTTCAAATTGTAACGTTTCCTTGGCTGATCTACTCCTTACTCTTTGCCACTTATTTTTTTTTATTTTTAAACATGGTATCCTTTCACTTCTCACCTTACTTGGCTAGTATCCATGGTGAATAATCCATAAAGGAAAACAAACAATCCAACAAGTGCAGCAGGGATAAGCATCCCCGTGTACCATCCCAACCAAGCAAAATAAAGACCAATTTTCTCTCCAAAATATCGCCTGCATTTAAAAGAGAAAAAGAGACAGATTAGAAGAAAAAGCCATTTGGGCAGTGACATGACAGTCTGTTTGGATTGGTTTTGACAATTCAGACTTAAAATCAACATATACACACAAAAAAACCCACCCTAAAACCAATTATAGGTTATTACTATTACAGTTGAAAAGAAACAACTGAGAACCAATTTGGTCAAGCGGTTAAGGCAGGGGTGTCAAACTGCGGGCCCATGGGCCGGATGCGTCATGGCGAAACTGCACCCATCCCATTGCCGGCAATGGAAAAAAAGTCACGATACGTCGTGACACGTCACGTGATATTGCGAGTTTGACACCTCTGGGTTAAGGCACAAGGCTAGAAACCAGGACAGAGATTGTGAGTTCTTCCTTAGGCCTGAAAGCTGATTGGATGACTTTGAGTCTGTCAATCTTTCAGCCCATGACATCAGGTTCAGGGGACAGTCCAGTTGGTCATTTCCTGTTGCAACTAATGGATCAACCCTTGATTGATCTGAAAAAAAAAAGAAGTGGACCCTGCACTTGCAGGAAAATCCTAGGAAGAAAAAAAATGAAAAGAAATGATGTTTGAGTTCTGTAATATGCTTTGATTAAACTATTTAGACAGAATCTGTGGGGAGATGGTGGCAGTTGAAATCAGGATCTTCCAAGTGATGCACAGGATATAGGTGGATTTGGGGTTGCCTCCAAAGTTGCAATTTATCCTGAGTCTAGCAGACTAAGGAATTTATGGGCAATTTATCTGCTTTTATTTTTTGTGTACTTTTATTGTGACTCGAAGCAAAAAATAATTAGTAATATCTTAGAATACAATGGAACTCTATAGATGTTTCTAAACACAGTCAGGCAGCTATGACTAACACTTTTTTTTTGTTTGTTTTTTGTCAATGGTTATCAGTCAAACAGCGTACCATTATGAAATTAAGTGGAACCTCCACTTTATAGACCTCAGCTTTTCAGAGTTTGTGTGCACTAGGTGGAATTCTCTTGCAATCTGCATAATGATGTCATTATGAAAATGCTGCTAATTACATGATTTGTGTCAATTTGGTTAATGGTATCATCACCGCAGATGATGCAAATGAAGTTATTTGTATCAGTTTGAATTGCTTGTGCAATGCAAGTGATTTGCAATGCATTTACATTTTTCATTTGAGGCAACTGACCTTATCTGCATCACTACAATAAAGTACCCTTCAATACAATGACTTTTAAGAATAAAGAACGCCCACTTCCCCTCAATTAGTCCATTAAAAACAGATCTTCTCTGTACTACAAAGGGAGAATAGCTATATTCAGTGGTGGGATTCAGCTGGCTCACACCAGTTCGGCAGAACCGGTAGCTAATTTTTTGTTGCCCAGGCCCAGAATGGACTTCTGGAAGTGGCATCCACACAGAGAACCGATTGTTCACATATTTGAATCCCACCACTGGCTATATTGGATAGCTCAATGACACAGAAGTGAAACAACTTCTATTCTCTTACACACATATATATATATATATCTTACCTAATCAGATCCAGAGGTTGGTATTTGTACCACATTCCCCATCGTGCCCAGCGCTCATATAATAGATGCCGATGGTTCGTAGCTCCATGTGTTTTAATAGGATGCCTGCTCTTGTGACTTCCCTAGAATATGCACACAGACCCAAGTTGAAATAAAGAAGAATTGGTAAGAGGATTATAGCAAATGGGGTCTTAAAATACGTGATTAAAATAAAGTGCTTCTTTTAAAAAATGAGGATATTATTAATTGGCTTGTGTGACATTGAACAATTCTAAGCAAACATCCAGCTTTTTGCTAGAGCTGATACAACTCACAAACCTCTTAGCAGCATGAAAACATTTCTTTGGAATATAATCAGACTGATTTGTCTAGAAATATTTTGTTCCAACATTGTGGAACTGCAGCACTTTCCAGCTGAAAGACTCCCTTATTAATGCAAATTTATATAGCATATTTACAGAATACATTATGATAATCATCTCATTCATTCTCATTAATTTGTAAGTTACAATTAAACATTGAGGAGGAGAAGCAGCAATTTACTAAATACACCACAGGAGCATATAGAAAGACTGGATTCAGATCTAATATTTTATTCTTACGTACACTTTGGGGAGGAGGAAATATGTCCAATAAAAAATCTGTGGGATTAGTTCAGAAGCCCTGATTCAAGATTAAATTGTGTGCCTTTGCTAAAGAGTTCTTTTTTCATATTTTCCTTATAAGTAATGCTGTTAAAGAATAATAATACCTGGAAAGACTGAATTTATCATAACTGAACATCCTAATTTTACAAAAGCCACCTTGGTTGGAACTGCCTATATTCTTAGATGCTACCTTAATAATTCCAGATTCTTGGTTAGGAGCTGAATTAAGTTTCCATTTATTTTAGATTGTGAAACTAACTGTAAATTTTCACACTTAATTCTAAAATATCTGGAGCACCACTTAATCACCATCGACAAAATCACCATCATTAATTGGAAAAGGCAGCTTTACTTGGAACAGTTTGCATCTTGCAATACTTCCTTTAATATTATTAAACACTATCATTTGGCCAAAAATACCAAATCCAGTCTAAACATCTGGCTGAATGTGACGAACCATAATTTATTTAACTTGCATGCTGTCTGACTCTCAGTGACTCTGGGTAGTTCACAACAATCAAACCAATTACAATAAAATCAATTATATATATATATATATATATATATATATATATATATATATATATATATATATATATATATATAT